TTTGGTAAAATACATGACATGATTATGGGTAATGGACGACTGACCACAGGTCACATAGCTAGTACAGCAGGCATCTCTCCGAGGAAGAAGAAGGTCAAGTTCGTTCCATCTACTTGTAAGAAGATGGCTTCGGTTTCTGGAATACCAAAGAGTCAGTGAGTATTGTTTTACGCCGCTTTTAGCAATATCCCAGCAATATCACGGCGGGGGACACCAGAAATGGGCTTCACGCATTGTACCCATGTCGGGAATTGAACCCGGGTCTTCGGCGTGACGAGCGAACGCTTTAACCACTAGGCTTCCCGACCGCCCCGGAATTCCAAAGACATCTTACTGTGGACTACGTCGCGACAGGTCAAACAATTTATGACCAATATCATGCTAATCTGAATAGGCAACTTCATAAGAATAGCAAGGATAAACGTCGTGGAATAGTCACTAAAGGTATTTTGTTCCACCAGGACAGGATAAGTCTGTTATCGACATGACTGCAGTGCATGATTGTGGCGTTGAACTTATTGAACATCCTCCGCATTCGCCAGATTTGGCACCGTCAGATTTCCACCTCTTCCCAAACTCGAAGACAGAATTGTAAGCATTATGTAAATTATGATGATGCCAGGACGAAGCCTTTTTCGTCTACCAGAGTGGTGTCTCAAATGTTTATTAAACACACGAGTGCATTACTCTATGCATTAATTTGTTTTGTTCTGCGACTGTTACATTTGCCTGTACAATGCGTTGAATATATAGAAAATACCCCTAATTACACAGCATATACGATGAGTATGAATTATTATGGTCGTAAAAATGGTAAGTGTTGGAGTGTATTTATCATTAACACCACTTTGGAATTAACCATTAGACTTAACACTTGTTAAACATTGTTTATTATCAATTTTATACTTTAGTAGGCGAAGCAGTTTATACCATAAACCTGGACCTATTATTCATCACATGGTGTAGCATGATTATGCTGGTTATTCTCTTGCATTGATATTTTAAATTGAATTTCTTACCTTCAGATAATGACGCACACTCGTATATAAAGACAACATTTTAGCCTTGTTGGCTGCAACTAAATACTTTTGTGCAATATATGTTGCAATTACATTATCATTAAAATGCAGGGGGTAGTCGTTATGTGTATCGATATGCATGTGGTATATGGTATAAACTATTTACAACACGTTGTAATTTCAAATCACAAAATACAATTTGCCTTCTGTCACTGCATCATAGTGATAACGTCATTCATGATTCGGATAACCTACGCATTTGTCAAGGCCCAACTGTGCCACCCAATGCAAAGTTAACGAGTATGAGTATTCCTAGTGCTCTGGGTGAGTGAGTATTTCAGTTACATTACTGTGAGTCAATCATCTCTCATACCGCAGGCTTGTCCCAAACATATTCAAACCACTGAATAAAAGTTGTCCGAGGCGGGCGTTGGTGCTCTTGGAATTATGGCTAGCTCTGTACACTGACATGAGCAATCCTTATAGAGTTTCATAACCACGTAAACACCAATTGCTCACTGTATGGCATTTAGCAACGTACTGCAGACAACTGTCGCTTTTCTTTCGCCATGTTTGTTACACGGCGACGCCATATCACGCCCCAGGTCGTCGCTTCACGTCTCTCCCCTAAGCCTCATCCTGAAATATATTATAAGTTTAACGTCCACTTCTTTCTCCTGAAAATTACATTTTACTCTGTTATTTCTTCAATGGTACAAAAAAATTAACTTGTGTTTTTTGTGACACATATCTGCAGTGACCTTAAGAAGGAAGATGTCGAGGAGATCCTCTTTGATCCCATAATATCCATCTGAGATTATTACCCCCATTTCAAAGTGACATACATGTACTCATATTTAAATGCTCAGTTGTCACCAGTTATCTATATTGTATATCATTATGTGGATGTTCGGAATATTTGGCAATAAGGTCGGTGGTGCTTTTCGTTTCAAGGGTGTATATATCATGTTATATCATGTATGAAAACTCTTACAGATAATTCAGTTTGCGTGGTGATTGTATCTATCCAGGTGCTCAGGGCGATGAGTTACCAAAGATGTGAACCAACTCCTTAATGCAAATTCAGTTTGGAAAGAATCAGTTTAATTTACTCGTTAAAGTTTGTTCATTTCATTGTTCTTCAGAACATTGTTTGATTGACATTCATCAAAATATCAGCACAAGAACGCGAAGGACATCTTCCCTGTGTTACCTGGGTATAACGCATACAGGTAACTGCATTTCGTAGAGGCAACATATGATACGGCCTCATTGTATGTTGTGAATAGAAGGTGGAATCAATGGTCCTACCTTTTGATTGTTTGTTCTTTACCGCCGCACTCAGCAATATTCTAGCTATATGACGGTGGTCTGTAAATAATCAAGTCTGAACCAGATATTCCAGTGATTGACATCATGAGCATCGATCCACGCATTTGGGATATGATGACATACATCAACCAAGTCAGCGAGCATGACCACCCGATCCTGTCAGTCGCCTCTTATAACAAGCATAGTCGCCCTGATCTTCACGAATCCAATGATCTTACCTAGTTTCCTAGCTCCCTTGACAGAAACAACAATTCTTAAACATCATAACATATGGGGATAAATCAACGAAACCTAACAACAGAGTATCAACGATTAAATCATTTGAAAAGTCAAATATTTCTTTCTGGTTGTGATATGTGTTTAGAAATATGTTCGCAGAAGACAGACGAGTAACTGGATGAATATGTGTATTTCATTATTTAATGTAATGCACATTTGTGATGTAAAGATTTATGTCTTTACACCATAAAGTCTTTGAGACTAATATATATTTTTGATGAGACCTATAGCTATGGTACTTCATATATGTATTTTTATTAGTTATCGTACATAAGTAAAGGGTAACACGTGGGTGTGGATGTTGAAGTATTCAATTAACACCAAGAGATATTTTAAATATAGTTTGACCAGAATGCATTGAGATTTTTTAAACCATTTTGACCATCAATAATAACCATATCAGCGGTGTATGTAGAACTTATTCTAACTTTGATTCAAGGGAGACAACTCCATCACCACTCCTAAAACATGCACACCAAGAAGCGAGTCTGGAGCATAGACTTTCAATTTGGACAATGTTATGTTCTTTGATGAAAGATCAGTGTGGCTATATCCAAACTGCATAAAAATGCGGACCAAAGGTGCAGAAAAAAACAAGTTACCAGCGTCCAATAAATATTCGTAAATTTCAAGTTCGGGGTGGGGTGTCTGTGCTGGGTGCCACGTGACTTGTGCAGTGTACGCTGACAATCTGCAAGGACATCTCCTTCGAACAGCACACGTTCTGTATGGTGACGGTTGGTGTCCCAGCAAGACAATGATCCAAAACATAGAGCGAAGCATTCTTGGGATGTTACCCAACCATATATGTCTCATTGTTTAACTATACTTATATACATGTTGCATAAAGTTTTACGTGTCTCAGTGTGCAATTGTGCACATATGCCTATTGTTCAAGTTCAGCTGTCATGTAAGGTATATTCAGATTCATGCGTCAGTGTTCAGCTAGATGTATCATACCATGTAACCAAGATATGTCTCACTGTTTCGGCTATGTACATGTATATCATGTCTGACATATATGGCTAGTCATGTCTCACTGTTCATCTATGTACCTGTATATCATGTCCGACATATATGGCTGGTCATGTCTCACCGTTCAGCCATGTATATCATGTTTGATATTTATGGCTAGTCATGTCTCACCGTTCAGCTATGTATATCCTGTTTGATATATATGGCTAGTCATGTCTCACCGTTCAGCCATGTATATCCTGTTTGATATATATGGCTAGTCATGTCTCACCGTTCAGCTATGTATATCATTTTTCGATATATATGGCTAGTCGTGTCTCACTGTTCAGCCATGTATATCATGTTCGATATATGTGGCTAGTCGTGTCTCACTGTTCAGCTATGTATATCATGTTCGATATATATGGCTAGTCGTGTCTCACTGTTCAGCCATGTATATCATGTCCGATATATATGGCTAGTCGTGTCTCACTGTTCAGCCATGTATATCATGTTTGATATATATGGCTAGTCATGTCTTACCGTTCAGCTATGTATATCATGTTTGATATATATGGCTAGTCGTGTCTCAATGTTCATCTGTGTATATCCTGTTTGATATATATGGCTAGTCATGTCTCACCGTTCAGCTATGTATATCATTTTTCGATATATATGGCTAGTCGTGTCTCACTGTTCAGCCATGTATATTATGTCCGATATATATGGCTAGTCATGTCTCACTGTTCAGCCATGTATATTATGTCCGATATATATATGGCTAGTCATGTCTCACTGTTCATCTGTGTATATCATGTTCGATATATATGGGTAGTCGTGTCTCACTGTTCAGCCATGTATATTATGTTCGATATATATGGCTAGTCATGTCTCACTGTTCAGCTATGTATATGATTTTTCTATATAAATGGCTAGTCGTGTCTCACCTTTCAGCCATGTATATCATATCCGATATATATGGCTAGTCATGTCTCACTGTTCAGCCATGTATATCATGTCCGATATATATGGCTAGTCGTATCTAACTGTTCAAGCCATGTATATCATGTTCGATATATATGGCTAGTCATGTCTCACTGTTCAGCTATGTATATGATTTTTCGATATATATGGCTAGTCGTGTCTCAATGTTCAGCCATGTATATCATGTTCGATATATATGGCTAGTCTTGTCTCGCTGTTCAGCTATGCATATGATTTTTCGATATATATGGCTAGTCGTGTCTCACTGTTCAGCCATGTATATCATGTCCGATATATATGGCTAGTCATGTCTCACTGTTCAGCCATGTATATCCTGTTTGATATATATGGCTAGTTGTGTCTAACTGTTCCAGCCATGTTTATCATGTTCGATATATATGGCTAGTCATGTCTCACTGTTCAGCTATGCATATGATTTTTCGATATATATGGCTAGTCGTGTCTCACTGTTCAGCCATGTATATCATGTTCGATATATATGGCTAGCTGTGTCTCACTGTTCGGCTATGTATATACTGTCCGATAGATATGGCTAGTCGTGTCTCGCTGTTCAGCTATGTATATGATTTTTCGATATATCTGGCTAGTCGTGTCTCACTGTTCATCTGTGTATATCATGTTCGATATATATGGCTAGTTGTGTCTCACTGTTTGGTTATGTATACACTGTCTGATATATATGGCTAGTCGTGTCTCGCTGTTCAGCTATGTATATGATTTTTCGATATATATGGCTAGTCGTGTCTCACTGTTCATCTGTGTATATCATGTTCGATATATATGGCTAGTTGTGTCTCACTGTTCGGCTATGTATATGCTGTCCGATATATATGGCTAGTCGTGTCTCGCTGTTCAGCTATGTATATGATTTGTCGATATATATGGCTAGTCGTGTCTCACTGTTCATCTGTGTATATCATGTTCGATATATATGGCTAGTCGTGTCTCACTGTTCAGCCATGTATATCATGTCCGATATATATGGCTAGTCGTGTCTCACTGTTCGGCTATGTATATACTGTCCGATAGATATGGCTAGTCGTGTCTCGCTGTTCAGCTATGTATATGATTTTTCGATATATATGGCTAGTCGAGTCTCACTGTTCATCTGTGTATATCATGTTCGATATATATGGCTAGTCGTGTCTCACTGTTCATGTGTGTATATCATGTTCATTATATGGCTAGTCGTGCCTCGCTGTTCAATTATGCATATGATTTTTCGATATATATGGCTAGTCGTGTCTCACTGTTCAGCAATGTATATACTGTCTGATATATATGGCTAGTCGTGTCTGCTGTTCTGCTATGTATATGATTTTGACATATATGGCTAGTCGTGTCTCACTGTTCAGCCATATATATCATGTCCGATATATATGGCAAGTCATGTCTCACTGTTCAGCCATGTATATCATGTTCGATATATATGGCTAGTCGTGTCTCACTGTCAGCCATTTATATCATGTTCGATATATATGGCTAGTCATGTCTCACTGTTCAGCCATGTATATGATTTTTCGATATATATGGCTAGTCGTGTCTCACTGTTCAGCTATGTATATACTGTCCGATATATATGGCTAGTCATGTCTCACTATTCAGCTATGTATATCATGTCCGATATATATAGCTAGTCGTTTCTCACTGTTCAGCCATGTATATCATGTTCGATATATATGGCTAGTCGTGTCTCACTGTTCGGCTATGTATATACTGTCCGATATATATGGCTAGTCGTGTCTCGCTGTTCAGCTATGTATATCATGTTCGATATATATGGCTAGTCGTGTCTCACTGTTCGGCTATGTATATCATGTTCGATATATATGGCTAGTCATGTCTCGCTGTTTAGCTATGCATATGATTTTTCGATATATATGGCTAGTCGTGTCTCACTGTTCAGCCATGTATATCATGTTCGATATATATGGCTAGCTGTGTCTCACTGTTCGGCTATGTATATACTGTCCGATAGATATGGCTAGTCGTGTCTCGCTGTTCAGCTATGTATATGATTTTTCGATATATATGGCTATTCGTGTCTCACTGTTCATCTGTGTATATCATGTTCGATATATATGGCTAGTCGTGTCTCACCGTTCAGCCGTGTATATCATGTTCGATATATATGGCTAGTCCTGTCTCACTGTTCGGCTATGTATATATTGTCCGATATATATGGCTAGTCGTGTCTCGCTGATTAGCTATGTATGTCATGTCCGATATAAAATCACCGCCAAAAGAAACGCGAACTTTAAAAACATATAGAGAAGTATGTACGTAAAGAAGAGATGTGTCTGATGTGTACCAATTAATGACAAAACTTACAGTCAAATGTTACCACAGTGCCTTTATTCTTATAAAGATTTGCTGCACGTGATTTCCAAACTTGACACGCTAATATTGCACGAAACAAATTGTGCATCTCGAGTAATGGATCTGTGACGTCACATATGATGCGTTCATGAGCGTCGTTTCACACAACATAGCAGTATGTTCGTTTGCGCATCGAACCAATCTAAAATCTTCTCTTGGATATAAGTAATGTTTCATATATTAACCAACATGTATGGTATTCGCTCTTGTTTTGGCGATGAGTATATTTTTAGAGGCTATGAATGGGTAAAGTGGCCTCCCATTCAATGCTTTCTCTGTGTGCAAGGAAAATAATGAATCATCTTCCGTTTCCTCTGTGGTTGCGCGAACCATCGGATGGACAAAGAAGCTTGTGACTCATGACTACGACCGGCAACAACTACCACGGCCGTGTACCGTATGTTCTCATGTTTGTTCGGGTGAACACTTGATTTGCATTCGCATGTGTTTGTTATGGGTGCCACCGTTACGGGCAGGTTATTCTCACCTGTTCGCGGACACATGGTATCATCATTATTTCATAGTGATTTATAAACACATGCGTATGATATACAGATATATGTAGTCTGAAACGTACAATGGACTCTGCATTTAATGCTTATGGAAAGGGGTTTTGTCACTCGGTACCAAGTAAGTATACTATCAAGAAACACCCATTGTTAAGTCAATGATATACATGATATACATGGCTGAACAGTGAGACATGACTTGCCATAGAAGAGTGTTGTCACCTTATCTGGAGTATTACCCTGACAGCTATATAAACTGAAATGAACATGTTGTTTTATAGCGACCTGTAAATATTTGAATCCAGGCAAGTGATCAATATTGTGAGCAACGATCAACGCTATCATGTTACGCAATCAACCAAGTCACCGAGTCTGACCACCATTTGGTCGCCTCTTACGACCAGTACAGGTTGCTGGGGACCTATTCTAAACCGAAATCGCCACGTCGTCTCACACAAGTAACTGAGAAAGCAGCATAGTGCACAGTTAATCAATGGGACGTAAGTGTACAGTGATCATAGTAACATTCACCAAAAGCAATGTATTTCTTTGTTTTAGGCCGCAGTCAGCACTATTTTCGAGCTGTATCACAGCAAGGCAAACCAAGGGTAAACTGTTCAAGTCAAGTCCTATTTTAGTTGGCTTTCACGAACAGTATCATTCATTGGGGATCTATTCTGACCCGGAATCCCCACAGCGATAGTTTTCTTTTATCACCTTGTCATAAAAAAGAGTGAATGAGTTGGGTTTAACGCCGCTTTTCATAAAAAACGAAGTATGAGAACAAGCATTATCGTACATATTCACCCATGCAAAGTAATCCCTGTTAGCATTAAGTACACAGTTACATAACACGAAGTGAGTTCACAAGAACACGTACCTTGTCACACTACAGTTACATAACACACATACATAGTCTGTGTACATGAGAAGTGTTTAAAGCAACAGCTAAATAAGAGAGATCAAGAATACCACTGATACACATGATGGACACAAGGCCGCTTTTAAAACAACACATGGACATGGAGAATTATGGAACACTACTGATGCATCATCTTCATTCTTGGGAAGGACCCGTGAGGATCCGTAAAAGGCGAATATGCTTGTCGTAAGAGATGACTAACGGGATCGTGTGGTCAGACTCGCTGACTTGGATGAAGCTTGTCATCGATTCCAATTGCGTGGATCGATGCTCATGATATCAATCACTGGATTGTCTGGTCCAGACTCGATTATTTACAGACCGCCGTCATAAAGCTGGAATATTGCTGAGTGCGGCGTAAAACAACAAACACACCAAACCAAACCTTTCGGGGGGTCAGACAAATATATTTCTCAGTGGACTACAAGTGACAGTGTGTATGGATGGGCAGTTATAGAAAATCATTGATACATGGTCTGTATACAGACTCTGAGGGAGAACATAACAGAGACACACACCAGATCTATGTTTACACAGGAAGATACGTTACACTACTGACAGACATTGTATTAAACAAGCGAGCTATGAAGCAAAACACACACATTTCAAAACTCTTCCCGACATAATGGTTCAATTCACATGCGCCAGACATCAAAACCTCATTAGTACGAACACCGTCCACAATGGATCGTCCGGATTAACACATTTCCGGACATATTGTATGTATGTTTTACACGAGGGAGTTAAAAATTCAAACAAACATTTTAGACGCAGGAATTAGTAAAATCACCTAGGTGTATCTCGCCAACTTTGTCCCAGAAGCCCGTCTTTAATCACAAGCTCGCTTTCATAAATATGAGCAGGAAAAGTTTCAAAATAATCAAAATGCACAGCGTTGGTTTGTATTCTTTCATATTCCGGGATCCCCCTCTGATCTGCACTGATGTAGCTCAGTCTAACAGGGACTCTTACACGGACACACAGTTCATTAAACAGGACCAACCACACACTAACTACTGCAAGTAGTAGAGAATATCTGGCTTAGAACCAATCAGTACTTACAGGTACGTGTCTCTTAAACTATCCCCGTATCCTGATACGTATATAACCGACAGGCATGGTTTACTGGCATGTTCAACCCATCGTATGTGATGCCATTTTGTCTATTAGAATGTATTTCGTTTATATGGACCAGTTGCGTCCGTCCAATTATGCTTAATTACGCTTTTCTCTCCAGGTTTACATGCCATTTGTTTCGTGTTTAGGTAATTAACAGGAAATAACTTAAAACGTCCATAATTGTAAGAGATATTACTTTCTAGTTATAGTTGTATGATAATAATGAACGAATTGGGAACACATTATAACTGGTAATGAAGTATAAAGTTATGACCCAACGATCTTGAAGGACGATGGCCGGGTGTCAAACATTCATTCACTCGACGAGGCATTCTGTCAATGAGTCTCCCAATGGCGATCTGAGGAAGCCTGTTCTACTAATTCTGCAGCGCCTAGCCACGTTCAGCATACGTTGACGTTGACGTTGATATCACACGCCTCCCTATCATATGTCCCAGACGGGTTTTTTTTATAACTTTTTATTTCTGTTGCATTTTTACACATGGGCTATACGATGTAATACATAGGCAGTAAACAAAAGTTGAGAACAGAATTATTGTGTGGGAAACAAAAGATGACAAGATGACCAAAATTTGTGGAATTTATCGATACTATTACTTATGAGAGCTGTGTATTTTGTAAGCATGTAATATTTGTAAATCTCTTTTTTTTTAAACTGAAAGTTCAGTATTTTTTTAATATCTATATGTAAAAATTACGAATTTGCAAAGTAAGATAATTACATTTATAGGATCGTTGTGTCGCTGATCAAAACCAAGCAGAATGTTTTTTCTTGTTAATGTGAGCTCAACTTGAATCTCATCTGATTGCCACTCTTCCAGTTTTTGCCATATGGGTTTGCCAGTGCATGGGAAACAGATTCTATACTATTTGAACAAAAACTACATGTCTCCGAATCAACTAGTCGCATTTTAAAAAGTCTTCTGTTTGTTGGTAGTATATGATGTAATACTTTATACTGGAACCATTGTAGTTCAGTATCTTTTGTGCATCGGAATGGTATATGGTTATAAGTATGCCACACGCTTAAATCGAGATCGTTTTCTAAAATATGGTTCCATTTTGCACAATGTTGGTTATTGACATTAATTTTTTTCATCAAGGTTCTGTAGTATGACTGGCTATTGCCATTCAGTAGTTCAGACAGATATGTAGGTATAAATGGCTTTTGAAAGGTCTGTATGTCCTTAAAGTCGACAAAGTGTATTGAGCAATACTGTTTTAGTGCACTTATTATTCCTCTATATCTTAAAAAGTTGGTGTTCACATTGTATTTGTCTTTAAACTGTTCATATGATAGAAAGTGTACACCACTTTCGCTCCAATTTGTATAGTGAACTACTTTATTATCTATTAGAATATTTTTATTGTTCCAAATGATTTCTGAGGCTATAGTATTAGTAACTAACTTAGATGTTTTGACAATGGATGAGAGAAGATCGCTGTAAAACGTATTACGAATCAACGAACTGAGAGTATCTTTAATATTCGAACACTTATATGTCCCAGGCGTGTTCAATAGGGGAAAGGTCTAGGCTCATTGCTGGCCATGGCATTCTATGGCTGTTGTGCTGCTTTGGGTGAGGAATTGGCGATTCATGCAGCGTTGTCGTCCCAAAAGACAATACGTCGATCCACACACCTTGCAAACGAGACTATGGCAAGCCGTTTTCATATTTATTACGGAATTACAGATATCTTCAATTGTTTTAAAGATATCTTGAATTGAATTGAAGATATCTTGAATGGAATTGAAGATATCTTGAATGGAATTGAATATATCTTAAATGCAGATAATTGTAGATATCTGCAATAAAATATAAGATATCACCAAATGAATAAGGGATATGGTGAAGCGTATTACTGATAAATTGAAAATAATGGCTGATATCTTAAATTCGATTATTGATATCAATATATGATTTAAAGATATCAAAATGTTATGATGTCAATAATTCAATTCATAATATATTGAAACTAAATACAGATATCAATAATTAATTATTAATATCTTCAATTGTTGCCATTATTAAAGATGTTACATTAATAATGTTACTTAAATTAGATAACTGATATCAATAATTGATATAGAGAAATCATCAAAATCATCAATCTTTAATTGGATTTTTGATATCAGTAACGGTCAGGATTAATGATATCTTGAATTGAATTAAATATATCTCTAATTGAATTAAAGATATCTGTAATGCATTTGTGGATATGTATAACTTATTTCAAGATATCTTGAATTGAATTTAAGATATCTTGAATTTATTTCTAATATATTTATGTACTGTAGGATGGTAATTGTTTAATGATATCTTAAATACATTTAGAGATATCACAAACTAGTTTGTTGATATCACCGTAACATTTTAAGATATCAGTAATTGTATTATGGATATCAGAAATGAATTTAAGATATCTTTAATTATTTTTGATATCTTAAAAACATTATTGATATCTTTAAATAAAATACCGATATCCTTAAAACAATTGAAGATATCTGTAATTCCGGCTTGCCATACGAGAAAACAAAGGGTGTCAGTATGTTGTCTCGATAGTGCTGTCCTGTGACCGTTCCTTTCGCAATATGGAGTGGGTTCGGTCAGTCCTAGTGATGCCACCCACCATACCGGATCCACCGTCAAAACAGCCATGATGCCAGGTTGGCGTTCATTTCACGACCACTCCTATCAAAGAGAGTGCAAAGTGAATCGTAACTTATCTCAAAACATGACACGAGTGCAGCAACGATTACCCCAGTTCGGAAGTTGCGCACACCATTGACGTCTGTTGCCAATTTACGATTTGTAAGGGCGGCACAACACGTGGCCGTCGAGCATGGAGATGAGCTGCATGTAGACGATTTGTAAGCGTCTGACTATTAACGCTTACTCCAGTGGCCTGATGGAAGTTTGAAGCAATTTGAGTCGCCGTTTGAGCTCGATTGTGTAACACCTGCTTTCGGATCAATCTATCCTGTACTCGTGTCGTTGACCTGCTAAACACAGACTAGGAAACTTTGAACAAATTGGCCACTGCACGTTGACTTCAGACAGTTTTCAACATGCCAATAGCCCGAAGGCGCTCCGCGCGTTGCAGACGCCGCATCGCTAACCCATACACAAACAATGAATGAAATCAAGTAAATCACAATTGTATGATAAATAAGATTGACAGAAATATTGGTCCACAGAGATTAAATTACCTTTCCTAAAACTCAGCAATGACACCTTACTCATGTGTCTGGCGCTACTGTGTGTGAACTGCAGGATGGGTTTTGGTGTTAAGTTTTACAGACATAAACGTTCGTGCATAGGATATTTGTTGTCAAGACACATGGTATTAACATTTATATGTCCTGAGCCCTTACTTTTTTATTTAGTATATTATTCAGTGTTCTTTACAGGAAACGTGTGTATGACAGGCCACAAGTGACTCAGACCTTTCCGGTGTTGGAGCCGCAATGTCGACAATATTCATCCTGTTCTGTTCCCTGGCCTCGCTACACAGCGTCGCGTCTCAGGGTGAGTTTCACACACAGTCAGTTATGCCAGAACTCGTATTCCTGCTGTCGCAGCTAGTTTCATTTGTGTCTAAGCATGTTTTCCTTTAATGCATAATGTTTAGCTGACTTAAACATCGTCAAATATCTGGGAAATATGACAGCGGAATATGACTTAACCATCATATTTTCTAATAAGAATTTTACCCGAGTAACTTCTGATATCAAAGGTATGAACACTCGTCAATATGTGAGTTTGTTAAACCGCCGCTTTTAACAGTATTCCAGTTACATCACTCCGTGTCAGCTTAATGTGGGAGGAAAGCCCGAAGTGATGCAGGTCTCATGATCAGACGTTTACCACTTTGGTGAACCCCACGAGCACTGGTATGGTGTTGACAAACTGGTGCTGAGATAAATAGTCACGGCGAACAGGGATTCGAACCCATAATCATATGTTTCTGGCCTGCCAAAGAACCGCAACTCCATACATTTATTTTTTCCGAAATAGGAAAACCGCCAGGCATAACAGATCCGCTGGTGCATCAAATCAGGTACATCGCTGCCAAGGACAGCATCATTCTCACATGCAAAGCAGAGGGCAACCCTACCCCCAAGTAAGAACATTATTTATATAGCTGAATGCACATGTGCACTGAGTGAGTGGGTGATGTTTTGGCAATTGAGTGGGTGTGTTTTGGGTGGGTGGTTGAGTGAGTGTACTCATGTGGGGAATCGAGCCCAAGGCTTTGGTGTTACAAGCCCACGCTTTAACCACGATGATACCCAGCTGCCCCTGTATGGCTATAAACCGCATACAGATATATAATTGGTATCACAACCAATTAGATACACGTGGGCATCCTTGGCATATTGGCTTCCCAGCATCCGATACGCATGCTTTTGGTATGGTCGTGCAATGGACTCAGATGAATGTAATGGTTATGGAAATTGTATTGTTGATTTTATTTACTATGGTAAACCTTGATCACATCTCTTTCAATGATATACTTCAATTGTGACGTCATTACAGTGTAGCTACTGATCAATGTTTGAAAGTGAGCTTCCGGAAATGTCTCTAAATATTAACAACAATATTTTATGGCAAATTATTGCTCAGTTTTGAAAACAAAACTCGTTATAAAGGTAACAATATAATTACCACCCTCGATACTTTATTCGACGTGTTGGAAATTTTGGGTGTAACCATACAGAATGAATAACAATATACAGAACAAAAATTAGGTGAAATTGCGTTTAATGTCGCGTTCAATATTATTATATTTCTATAGCGATGTGCGTGCATGTGTGGCTTCTTGTACTAGTTAGGACTTCCTACTTGTCAGTTCTATAGTGTTGGGGGTGGTCGGGTAGCCTAGTGGTTAAAGCGTTCGCTCGTCACGCCGAAGACCCGGGTTCGATTCCCGACAGGGGTACAATGTGTGAAGCCCATTTCTGGTGTCCCCCGCCGTGATATTGCTGGAATATTGCTTAAAGCGGCGTAAAACCATACTCACTCACTCTATGGTGTTAGCCCACTGAGATGCCATACACACATTACATCTGACTACGACCCGACGGGACCTTGTTTTATCCCCTTACTGCCCAGCGCCAGGGAGAGCAACAGCAACTACCAGAATGACGCGTCCAGGGCCTCGAACCACCGATAAACAACAAGAAGTTAGACTAAAGTATCATTGTTATATATTTCAAATAAAAAAATGAATTATACAAATCCATAATATAGGAGTGACGCTTCCTTCTGAATATCTTATGTGTTTTGACAAGCCTGACACATGGGTTGCTATAGTTTCTTGTGCTCGTGAGAGTACATAGCCCGCTCCAAGGAACTTCAGTAAGTGAGTGAGTTGGGTTTAACGCCGCTTTAAACAGTATTCCAGTTATATCTCGTGTGAGCTTAATGTGGGAGGAAAGCCCGAAGTGATGCAGGTCTCAGACGTTTACCACTTCGGTGAAACCCGTGAGCACAAACATGGTGCTGACAAACCTAGAAACATAATCGGGGCGAACCGGGGTTTCTGGCGTGCCCAAGGGACGCAACTCTGCACAGCGAATCGCGCCGCCTTAGACGACTGGGCCACCCATATTACTTGTAACTAATACAATGTTTCCATAGTTTGTAGCGTTATTACCTATTTTCCTGCCAAATCGAAATATTGGTATGATCTTATACTTGTTGTACATCCAATACATAGTGAAGATCAGTATAACTGGAAAATACTCGGAGGAATACCACTGGAGCATGACTAAAAACAACTTCAATTTAAGATACTTCATTCAATTATCCTGTGTAATGTGTACTTTAATGATATACATGTAAAGAATAGTAATTTGTGTGAATTATGTGAAAGCGTAGATACCACAAAACATTATCTATTTTATTGCCAAATTGTTTGCCCTTTTATACGTCTTCACTTATAGTTGTAGCAACCAAATTACAAGGTTTGACCACCGCGTACAATGAAAGTAATTTGGTCCTGGAGTAAACTGATTGAAGGTTTTAAACGTCAAGCTTAATGTGATTAATTTAGTGACAAAGATAGCAAAGTAGAGAAATTACAGAAACAAAGCGCTGGGGATTGTCTACTAACATGGCTATTAGTTTACTTGAGTTAGTAAAAACAATGAAAGAAATTAAAAAGGCTCCTAAAGACTTTACTGACACAACGAACAGAGAAAAGACATGATTATAGAAACAAATGTATGTATGGCGTAAGCGACGCTTAAGGAAATCGACTGACATGGTTAATTTACTGACACAACGAATAGAGTAGAGGTGCGCATGTGTAGTAAGTGAAATATCGACGCATGCGCTGAAATGGTTATACACCTTTTCACTGTAAATTCCAGTGGTCTTTTTAACTCTAATGGTTCTAAAACCAAAGTACCTATGGTAATACGGGATGCTTTTTCTCGAAATTTAAACAAATCTTTCACCGTCGTTTGAGAAATTATATCGTCATATATCGTTATTGTGGGTTTCGTTTATTTATAATCCAAACCTGTTTTCACAGCATGATACAAACTCTTTGTATTGTAGACAAATGGCCTCTGCCCAAACCTTGTCAGTTTTGTCTTTGGTATACAAAGGAGTTGTTTCTCAGCAGAAAGAAGGTATTCGTCACCACTCGCATGTTTCCGTAACCTACAAGGCTCGTCTCCGTAACCTACAAGGCTCGTTCCCCTCTCGAAGGCCGTCATGCGTCGAAACGGCGCAAGCCAATCAGAATGCGTGTCAGGATATTGGTACTTTGATCAATATAATCCAGAGTCCTTAAAATAATTTTTTTTAAAAGAAGCGTTTGTTTAAAAAAACTGCAGAAAATTGTAGATTGTCGGTTCCACACCGCATTGTATATACAGATAACAGAAGTGTGATACATATACTCACCAACAAAAGAAACGCGAATCCCATATAAGTTGGGTAATATATGACGAATTACTCATTTTGAAGAGAATTAGAATGGTTTGATGCAGAAACGAACATACTGCTATATTGTGTGAACCGACGCTTATGAACGCATCATATGTGACGTCACAGATCCATGACTCTAGATGCACCATTTGTCTTTTGCAAGATTAGCGTGAAAAGTTTGGAATCACGTGCAGCATATTGTGATAAGTAGAAAGACGCTCTGTGGTCTTGACAACGCTTGACTGCTTGTTAGTTTTGCCATTAAGTAGCATACATTGGACATATCTCTTTTTAACGTACTTGCTTATCTATGTGTTTCTATTGTTCGCGTTTCTTTTGGCGGAGAGTATATATAACTTATATTGTTACTTGAAGTGCTATGTTGGATGATAAATTCAAATGTACACGTGCGTTTGTTTACATTCAGGAAACGGCACACTTAACTGCAATATCCGTCCATTTGAACTAGACCTGACTTTCCAGAACGACATTACGTGTAATATCCCTTTACGAAATGTGTAAAAGTTATTATCTAATCACCTATTTTCAAAACAAATTATTCACGTACCTATAAAACTCCAGTTATGGGATATTGTGTTGCGGGTATTTTTGGCCATTTGCGAAATTTACAATTTTTCTTGTAATTTCAACTTTCATACTGATTAATAAAATGTATGTTGTACAGAAATATAAGAATTTCTAATTGTAGAATATTAACTATCTATAAATATGTCTTTGTCAGACATCGCTCTGGGGTATAAATTGAATGTACTACAGCTGGCACTGATATTCACCAGCAATTGATATTGGAAGCAACGATCAATACGGTCGAGGTGCGATGGTACGCAATCAACTAGGTATCGAGTGTGATCACCCTATCCATAAAGACGTCTCTTACCACAGGCATAGGCTACTTGGGAATCCTCACAGGGTTTGAAAACTAACATGGTCTCACTATGCTGTCGATATATGTTTAGAAAAACTTTGCGTCATCTCTAGACATGGTGGATATGGAATTCCGTCATAATTATATTGTAATTAATTCATAGACAATATGCGTACTATTTGTTAACACTGTCGATGAAAGGACAGATTTAGTTCTGAAGTAATGAGTTTTAAAATTGCCCTTTCAAGCTTTGAAAAGACGATTTCAAATTTGCCACATTTAACTGAATATGTCTAAGAAATTCATTGTTACTAATTACTAATTTGCAAATAAAAGATCAACAGTTGAAAATGAATGAGTTGAATGGCTTGCCAAATATACTTTTGTTCTAAAGAATATATTAACTTTATATCAGAGAGATTCAATACTTTTACCACAGGACCAAGTGAGCGCTGCTGTATTTAAGGTACGGGAAGAATAAGAGTTATCGTTCTTGCTTGAAGTAGTTTATACGACAATATCGAAACCATAGAGAGGGGTCTACGTTCGGCTTGTCCCGACGAGTTGGTCATGGAAGACCTAGGTGGTTGATATACCTGGATAAAGCCATATAAATCAGAAGGGGCTGACTGGTTGTAGCAGTTATATGGTAAGGTCAGGATATGTAGTTGAGAAAGACGTTGACTTTATTGGGACAAGCCTCAGCAAAAGAAGCTAACGACGCTGGGTACTCTCTAGATTTGTTATAGTGACGCATATATGCAGGCCACATCTTCAAACTAACATTTTCCATTCAACAAGGGAAGATGCACTTTTATGTAAGCACGCTACAGTATCTTCGAACCATCCATGACTATAACTCTACATGCATATGCTTGTAAATTCATTTTACCACCAAGCAACGCTATGTCTGGTTTTGTACCTAGGGCAACATTAGATAAGGCTCTATGTACCTCCTTTGAGTGGTATGTTGCAATTTCGGTTTATGTTCTAGTATATTGCTAAATAAAGGTGTTAGAATCTACTTTAAAAGGAAGTCTCAACTGTAGAAGTTGTTGCTCCAAAAGAACTTGTCCTTGTTCAAGGTTCTGTGTTGTGCTTTTCGTTCAGCACATCAACAAACAATGTAGTCGGGCAGGTGGTCCTGCGGTGATTATTACTTTGTGCATGCACTAGGTATTCCAATTCCTTTTTTCAGATATACATGGTACAGGACTGGAACAGAAATTGCGTCAAATCAGTACCAGAAAGTAGATGCTGACACTGGTGCACTGGAAATACTCGACTTTTCAGGCAGGGAGGCGGGGGACTACCGATGTGGGGCGACAAACAACATCAGCCTAGGGGTATCACCATTAGCCATGTCACCCGCTATCAGCCTGAAAGAAATCAGTGAGTTGAGCACAACTGTGCACCAGGGGTCCTGTCGGGAAGATATATATCTTTTATATATGACCTGTTGTGCAGCATCACTTCATTATTAAACTATTCATTGCCTGGCTGCCCTACGCTGGATAGGTCAGATCATGCGTGTATTCTGCTTCTGCATTGTACACCATACGTAAGTAGCTGCCTGTCACTATTAAGATATTATATATTAGCATTTGCCCGGAATCATCACAAAGCCAAAATAACTGACAGTGTCTATCCTTTCCAAGGTATTTGGTTTGGTGGTTAGGATACGGGTAGAAGTGAATCAACAAAAAACAGGACTAGTTTGAGGAAAGCAGCATTGTGGTTAACTAATATTAAACAAAAGGCATAGTGTATTTATATGGAGATGTTTTTGCACACACAAAAAAACAACAAAAATTTAATTTCTATACACCTGAGGAGAACTACGGGGTGTGAAATTGAAGAACAATAAGCAGTGGAAGAGGTTTATTTGTTAGAACATACGAAAGTACCGGTCCCTATTTAAAAATATCAAACACATTTGTTGTCTGTATATTTAAGGACATGCTACTGTTTGGACTAAAAGCGGCGACATTGATCACATCAATGCGTCAGAGGGGGAATACGCCAAACTGGAATGTAATTATGTGACCCCCGGTGACCCCAAACTTCCATTCAGCTGGTTTCTGAAATCATCATCAGATGCTGATCAGTTGCGAGAAAGTAACAGAACCTACATTGACGAGAGAGGTATATATGTCTCGTTCTGTTTCTTCTAAGATTGGGTTACGTGAATTTAACCTCATTAAATCCAGAAATAAATAAGGGTGCCGTATGATCATCTTAAAGGCAAAGTTTTCGATCGGCATGAAATATTGCGGAAGTACATTCCACATTTCAGATGTATTCATTGTTACAGAGCGGTCCTATCATGACCTTGGAAAATACTCTTTTGTAAGAGGTTGCAAATTATCAGAACGTTTGTACTGACTCAACGTCAGCTTTATTTTTGCCAACGTTTCACAAGTGAAAGCAAGGCACTGTATGATGATGTGTTCATTGAAGGTACTCTACATTTCATCTACGTGGAGCCAAGTGACAAGACGAGTGGCAATGATGTGTATAACTGTGCCATCCATAACAAAGTTCAGGACTACATTAAGCTTGGCAATGCCAAGAGACTAACAGTTAAAGAAGTCACTGGTAACGTTATGCTGCATATCTTTCAAAGGTCGTAGTGATCCATGGGTAGGATTTTCCTTGGTAACCTATGTTTGCCGGAAGATATATTAATCAGGGGGTCAGGCTCGGTGACTTGGTTGAATGTGTGTCATCGTTCCCCAATGACTTTGATCATGCTATCAACCACTGGTTTGTGTGAACAAGACACGGTCATTTAAAGGTCGTCGTATTATAGCTGGAGTATTACTGCAAAGAACAACAAACAAAACATCCTTTACCACGACTCACATATGTTCTAGCATCAGAGTTACATAGACATGTAATACATGAATATCATCTTGATTAATTAGAAAAAATTGTCACTGTGGGTTACTTAATTAAGTTATTTTCACGTTTAGTTAGTGGTAATTCATTAACAGATATGAACCAACTTCACATATTATCACCCATGACTTCTGTTCCTCCATCTTGGAGGCGTTTTCAAAGTAATGGTATTTTCTTGTCACCTCTCTTTGTCAGGTAAACCAGAAAGGAAGCCTAGGAACCAGTTTAAAACCGACCCTGCGGAATTCCAAATTGGTCATACGGCAGAGCTGGAGTGTGTTTTCAGCGGATAGTGAGTAGCAGTATTTGTCCTGACTTGAAATGCGTGAATGTTTGCAGTGATCAGAATAAAAGCGACGCGAGGCTTCTTGGTACTGTGGATAGAGTATGTTACTTTTCAAGTTTCCTTTTTAATGACTGAAAATAACCAAGTGAAGTGTGTTACTACGCATTCATTATTTCGTATCTCATGTTTTACCTTTTATTTGCAAGGTTTTCTTGGAAATATATTATTAAGGTGCTCTCATTTCTCTAAGGGCTTCATTTGCTTTGACATAAAACCGATTTTATGTTTAGATTGCAAAGACGGTTTGTCAATGTAAAACCTTATGCCCCATTAGTTAAACAAGTGTATCATTGGGACCCGTCGACAATTTGCCGATGCGACATTACGCTTCTGCTCACTTGTTTGGAGAATCGCTGACATATATTTAGCGACATCGTCGCCCTTAAGAGACAATTCATATCATTTCTTTCATGGAATATCCATTTTTCCGATCACTATTGTTCGTTGTGAAAGAGACCTGTTATATGCATATTGACTAGATGATAGTTGACGATGCAGCTTTACCTAATCGTGTCAAGGAAAACATGTTTAGGAATTAGCATACATGTATAAAGAAAACCAAAAAGGTTTGAGTGAGCCATGTTAATACAATTATCTATTCCTCGTCTTTCCTTTCTGTCTTTTAATGTGCTTATTATATATAATAACACGTGTAAATCTATTGGAGAGGGCGATCTAAGTTGTCATAACTTGTGTCCCATTATTTTCGTGTGAATGAAATAGGTATTAACTATCAACTTTTTACATGTACCTTCAAAACAATCGCTACCTTCTGAAAAGGAGTGCATCTCCATAATTGTTAATGTATGTGCACAGATGATATGATATTCAACTGTACTTTGGGCCACAAGGACTTCGATTCTGAAATAACCTTATCCAATAATATTATTGAACTTATATTCTGCATGTCTGTTCTTAGACTGCTCTCAGGACCGCCTCCGAGGTCAAGTGGTAGAGCGTCCGACCGGAGAGCGGAAGATCCGGGGCTCGATCCCCGGCCGCGTCATACCAAAAGACGTTAAAAGATAGTACTTGTTGCTACCCTGTCTGCCCCTCGGCGTTAAGGGGCTAAAACAAGAACTAGTCGGCTCGGAGTCAGTATACTGTGTCACACACACGTGCATGCACGTCGCTATATAAGTGCAACAATCTTGGATGCGACGTTAAACCCCATTTCACCTCACCTTAACTGATCCCTAAAGGAGATAATAATGCTATCCCTAGCTTAAATCTGGTTTTCCATGGTCCTTTTACATAAAACGCTATTGTTCTTTATACAATGTATTGGTGTTGGAAAACCCCAGTGTCGACTCTCCTACCGAGCTTTGGTATAGGTAAGGATAAGATATATGGATGATCAAATTCTTTACTACAATTAGGAGCGACGTTTCGGTGTAGGTTCTAACACTGTTATCAAGCAAGAAATATACAGACTATGCTTGACAAGCAAACTAGTGACACGTGGTCCTGTGCACATCAGGTGAAAGTAAGCAACGTGAGAGTCCTTAGATGGGTTACCGCGTTTCGGCAGCTTGGCTCCTGAGGGTTTCCATGGCTTCGGTCCTGCCCTGAACCGAAGCACATATAACACATGTGGCGTCTCCTTGGACAAATGGCTTTGTTCAAAATGTGCCTCAGTTCACCCAGGAGTGAATGGGTATCCGGTAGGATGAGATGTTTTTAACCTTCTAGCGCCCAACAGGCAGCTTGGGTTGTATACTACTTAGGGAGCTGAGAATGATTCTAGAGTGCATACTGATCCGGTGTAATAATATCGCTTTGAGCATGCCCCTGAGTGGTATGTAAATATGCGCAATCTAAATGGCCTACTACAAGCATATATACAAGGCAGAGTTTATACAGTTTAGTAGATTGGGGGTAATTACAACAGACTGGAGAGGCCTGTTATGTACACAATGCAGGTGATACAAGGTAAAAACCCTAAGAGTCAGTTGTAGAAACAAGCGGATAATACCTGATTGGAGTCTTTGATGAGTTGATTATCATTTTAAGCAGCGGATGTGTTATAGCCTGGATCACGGCTGATTGATGCCTCTCAAAGAAGTTAGAGTTTAGGCATATGTAATAAGAGTGAGTGAGTGAGTTAGTACGGTTTTACGCCGCTTTTAGCAATATTCCAGCAATATCACGGCGGGGGACACCAGAAATGGGCTTTACACATTGTACCCATGTCGGGAATCGAACCCCGGTCTTTGGCGTGACGAGCGAACGCTTTAACCACTAGGCTACGCGACCGCCCATATGTAATAAGAACAGCATAACATGCAATCATGACGAGAGTAATAATTCTCATTCCTGGAGATTGCTATAGCATTTTCCTAAGCCGGTAGTGAACCAGTCCTTTCGGTTGATAATTGAGTGTTTTCCTGTGTTCGTTGTTAACTCTGTTGAAATGTTGAATATATATATATATATACAATGTAAGACACTATATATTGACAAATAAACCAAACAGAGGAATGGGCGTGTTTCTCGTATAGCTTTTCGTTACAGACTGATTTCGGTATGCTTTCATGGGATTATTTTCTCTCACTTGATGCCTGTGATGGTTTACACGTGGTACCTTTACACGGGGTAACCACTGGTTAATTAATACATGTTCATTTATCATTGAAGTCCCCTACCATCGACCCAATGGTTTAACATAAGGAATGAGCCCATCAATCCAGGAGGGAGATACCAAATGGATAAACACAACATGAAACTGAAGATCGCTAAACTAACAGAGAAAGATGAAGGCCTGTACAGATGCAAGGGGGAGAATACTCTTGGGGAAGCTGAGACGACCATCTTCCTTGACGTAAAATGTATTCCTTGTTTTGTTCTTGGTTTTTTTCAGTATGACAATCATTATAAAGTTACATATTGCCAATCTATTCTCATTTCTTTCAGTTCTGTCACCTCATTAGCAACATAACAATCATAACATATGCTCATTTTAAGAGTGGCGTAAAAAAATGTGACGTCAAGATAGTGAAAAGTACCTTTTGATAAGTGATGGAACGACTTCAACAAATAGAAAGTCAAGTTTCAACCAAATATGGTCAAAGTTGGGCCATGTGTCATACATATGGTGTTTTCAAAGATTTTATATCTCTGATCAGTGAAGTTAATTATCTTAATGTCCTCATTCCTATATACATGAGTGCATTGAATTCAAGATCACATACTTTTAGTGGTGACATTTTGATGGTTTAATGGATGGTTTAATATTGCTGTAGGTGTTTTAGTTTCTTTGAGCTTACTTGAGTTAAAACATGTTGCAGCTGGTCCTATATGGGAAAAAGCCATCACTAACCTGACCGTACCGGAGGGTAGAGACGCTTCCTTCACCTGCAAGGCCCGACCAGCTATCGACGAGAAAGCATTGGAACCACCGGTGTGGTACAAGAATTGGGAGAGAATACAAAAAACAACAGGTAAATATCCTATGAAATAACTGTCAATGAACATAAGATACTATCCACCAAGGCAGGCATTGACAAGGTATAATAATATGTTCATAGTCTGAGTAGATAGGATAACGTGTCATGAAAAATATACACATGCACAAAAGTTAAGCGCCACCCACCATATTTGTGAGCTGTTACTTTTGGCACTTAATGATGACTATTATAACGAGATGTGCGATTGTTATAAGCCGTATATGTAAACCTCATGTGATGCAAGAGTTGTCCCAAAGCAAGGTTATCTTGTGTTCCAAAAGAATATGAGCAGAATCGAATTTTACCGAAGACCAGAAATTGAAGGATTAGAAAACATTTGAAAACTTTTTTTTGTCATGTAACTGTCACGATATCAGCAGACCATATCAAGTGTCGCATAGACACCCTAGGGAGTGAAGAGTCTATTGCAAGACAGAAACGTCAGTAACGTGTGTATGATCCATGGACATTGACCACAGCTTCAACCCTACGCCTCATACTCATTACAAGTCGTTGAATGGTTCTCTGAGGCAAACGGATCCATTCTTCATGAAGTGCGGCTTAAAGTCCAGCGAAATTTTGAACTGGGGGGTCACGATGTCTGATTTTCCGGTCAAGAATTTCCCAGAGATGCTCAATCAGATTAAGATCCGGACAAGGCAGGCCAAGGAAGAATGGCAATAGCTCTTACGCAAATAAGCCAAAACTGCACGAGATCTGTGTGGTCTAGCATTGTCGTCCATGTAAACAGGTCTTGTCTGAAGAGGATGGTTGTCAAAATGAGGGACTACCACTGGACGAAGAACGGCATCTTGGTATTGTTGGCCATTCAGGTTTCCACGAATTGTCACCAGCGGAAGTTTGCAGCCTAAGGAAACAACCCCATATCATGACAGACCCCCCGCCACATGCTAAGGTCTTCTGGGTGTTCCTTGGTGCAAAACGAGTGTTACGTTGCCTCCAAACACGTATTCGACCATCAACAGTTCGTAGCGGCATTCGACACTGCGTTTGACGATCACGTGTCAACGCCTTCCTCTGTTGGGAGTTATGAACCAGCGGACCCTGTATCAGTCTTGCATTGGATAGCTGATAAACTGCAGTTACAGCGGACGACTTCGGCTGCGGATAGGTTCTCTGGATTCGCAGTTCCATCGGCTAGTTCGTCCAAGATTACGCTCACTCCAAGACCTGTCTTACTGGACATTAACTCTAACCTAGACATGGCTTTCGCGTCCTTTCGTCGACTTCGGGATCGTCTCCATATCCCCCGCTTCATCCTTGAAGACACAGGCACTCATGGCATGTCTACTACGGTCGTCTCCCCCGAGATTGACAGTGACGTTTCTACTCTGTCTCAGAAGCGCCCAACCTCGTCTTACGTGGTTGAAGATCGGGACCTAACGCACTTGGATACCACAGTCCGCCGTACCCTCCCACTCGTGTCTACTATGTTGTCAGCCATGGACGATCTCTCTCTCCACTCATTCCCAAGAAGATGCCTTTACTCGGGGATTAATCAACCTTACGCAGATTTTGGAACTCCTCACTCACCACGCCGGCTCCATGACGCCGCCGTGGTGTGCTACAACATTCTTCCTGGGATGACCAATTTAAGGCCAAACTGCATCAGCAACCCTGGTCTTCCCGCTCCTTGTTTGCTGACGCGATACAACAGGTCCCACAGGACGTGCAGATAGATTCTAGCCTTCAGGTCATGGTGGACCTTCTACGTCTCCAGAAAAGACAATTGGAGGATCAACAGAAAAAGGATCGCCAATATCCCAAATTTGTTCCTGGCAAGCGCGATTTACGTGAGCTTATTTCTCACCGGCCTTATCCCTTTCGGGGGCGCGGCAGAGGTCGAAGAGGTCAAAACCCTCCTCGGCTCGATCGGTCGCCTTTACCGGACCCAAGAGCGCCGGCGAACCTTCAACAAGGGTATCGATTACCGATGATCGCACCATTACCTACAAAACTCCATCCCCATCGGAGAACGTACTCGTCCAGGCAGCTACCAACAATGATCGAAACGATAGGTACGTTACTAGCAAAATACGCTATCGCGCACACTTCCCGCGACCTCCGGCTTTTACTCCCCCAGTTTTCTTGTCCCCTAAAAGGACAGTTTAAAACTTCATTTTCAACATGAAGACTTTCAACGCTACGTACCTTGAAACCCCACCACATTTTCGCATGACGTCGATCGCGCTCCTTCGTACGCTCATTCATCCCGGCGATTATATCATCAGTCTCGATCTCCAAGACGCTTATCTGCACGATCCGATCCATCAGGAGCACCGACACTTCCTCCGGTTCGTTTTTCAAGACCACCATTACCAATGGAAGGCGCTCCCGTTTGGAATCCCTTCCGCCCCGTGGCTTTTTAACCGCCTGACCCGACCCATCACGAAGTTCACGCAGATGCCGTTTTCCGCCGTATACAACTCGCCTTCACAAATCATCTTCTCCGACAACTCGGCTGGCTAATCAACGGACAAAAGTCGGAACTCATTCCCACTCAACGTCTCCAATTCATAGGAGCCCTGTTCGACACTCGGCAAGGTCGTATGTTCGTTCCCCACGACCGATGGGAGAAGATTCAACGTCTCGTACCGTTAGCACTCAAACAGCTGCTTCAACTGCACCAATGGCAACAACTCCTGGGCCTCTTAACATCGTCGCAGGCATTCAAAGTACGGGGTCGACTTCATTGCGACCTCTCCAATGGTTTCTCGCGCCCTTTATGAGGATCACCGATTGTCATTTCTCTACCGCTCTATCTCCACCCTCATCTTCAATGGTGGCTGGTCGCGTCGAACGTTTGCGACGGGGTCTCCTTGACGCCATTCGCCCCGTCCCTCCATCTGTTCGTCGACGCTTCAACCGTCGGTTGGGGAGCACATTTTCAAGATCGGCAAGTAGCAGGGCGTTGGTCCGACGTAGAACGTTGCCTTCACATCAACAATCTCGAGTTCAAGGCAACAATTCTTGCGATTTCGCATTGGTCGGACCTCCTCCGGTCCTCCGCCCTCATGATCCAGTCCGACAACACGGCGGTTGTGTGGTCCATCAACAGGATGGGATCCACGAAGTCGATGTCCCTACTCCAACTTGCCCTCGAGTTCGTTCGTTTCATCGACTCCCTCAACATACATGTCTGCGCTCGGCACATTCCGGGGATATCCAACGTCATAGCAGACTCCCTGTCCCGACCAGACAGACCATCACCAACCGAGTGGTCTCTTCATCCACAATTGTTCCAATGGATTTGTCAACTATATCCGGCCCCGGATGTAGACCTCTTCGCCACCCGCTTCAACGCTCAACTATCCCGATTCGTATCCCCGATCCCCGCCCCTCGGGCTTGGGAGCACGACGCGTTGGCGATCTCGTGGGAAGGTCTCAATGCCTACGCTTTTCCCCCGACACGGCTCCTTCCCCGGGTCCTACAGAAGGTAGCAGCCACCGATCACCTGTCTCTGATTTTGGTCGCGCCCTACTGGCCAACGCGCAACTGGTTCCCCACGTTGCTAAGGCTCGCCGACGAACGATTTCATCCTCTTCCGCTCCGCGACGACCTCCTCATTCAACCGCACTCTCGGTGGCTCCATCAGTCTCTGACAACGCTCCATCTTTGCGTTCGGCGCATCTGCAGAAGTCCCTGGTAGCAAAAGGTTACTCATAGCGGGTAGCAAAAACCATCTCTGCTGCCCATCGTGTTTCCACCAGGCGCCTTTATGACCACAAGTGGACGGATTTTGAGACTTATCGTCGCGCTCGTGACATTTCCACTCCTACCTCGGCTTCGCCTCAACAGATTGCCGAATACTCACATCACCTGCGTTCGACTCGGAAACTTTGGGGGTCCACGTTGGCAACCTACCTCGCGGCTATTAACTTCGTCATCGCCACCACTTCCGGTGCGAAGGTTTCCACGGTTACGGAACTACAATCGCTCATCCGTTCCTACAGATTAGCAGACCAAGCTGCTCGTTTTCGGCCTCCTTCGTGGGACCTAAACGTTATTCTTCAACACCTGGCTTCCGGTGATTACGAACCACTGACGGAGAAACATTTCGAGACAGTTACGCTGAAGACCGTTTTTTGTTGGCTTTGGCCACTGCCGCACGGGTTAGTAAAATTCATGCTTTGGATGTCACGAGAGTCCAGTTTAACAGATCCGGAAGTGGCAAAGCGTTCCTGGGGCTTCGTTGGGGTTTCGTGGCAAAGAACCAACTGCCCGGACAACCGGACCGGCTATTTACGATTCCCCCGCTCTCGGCTATTTTGGGATCGAACGACCATGAAGACCTCTCTTTGTGCCCGGTTCAGGCGCTTCTAATATATCTCGATGCGTCACGCCTCCACAGACGTTCCCGGAAGAGACTTTTCATCCCATTGTCTACATCGGAAATTTCTCGGACGACGCTATCCTTCTGGCTCCGCTCAATCATTCTGCGAGCGTATACTTTCGCCGGGCTGCCTCCGACTACAACGTCAAATCCTCATGAGACCCGTGCGGTTGCTTCCACCATGGCCGTCCACAGTAACTGCACCCTCTCAACCATCATGGAAGGGTGCTTTTGGAAGTCTGATACTGTGTTTGTGTCCCACTACCTTTGCGACATTTCAGTCACAGACGTACAAGGGCTCCATAAGTTCGGTCCGTTGGTTTGGCTCAACAGCTGTCTCGCCCCGGTTCACGCAGATAATAAACAGTTATACTACGGGGTTACAAGTGTATATACAGAATAAATCATTGAACATTTACGTGGTATTACGTGTTCGATTTTTCCCAGATCGAGTCCTTTTCGGAGGGTGGTTTAGCTCGTCTGTAGAGACTTATTCGTCTAATTTACGAAGTGACCAATCGGTGCAGCCGATCGTATACATTCAGTCACAATCGTACAAGGGCTCTCAACAAGTTCGGTTCGTTGGTGTTGGCACAACAACTGTCTCGCTCCAGTTCACGCAGAACATAAACTGATATACTTTGTAATGCTTGCGGGTTACAATTGTATATACAGAATAAATCATTAAACATTACGTGGTATTACATGTTTTTTTATTGTTCGGGTTTCCCAGATTGAGTCCCTTTTGCCGTTTCGTTTATGCGGTTACAGCTACACGGTCGTCCTATATGTACGATGACATACGGGAAAAAACGTTCGGCATGTATACCCGATCTCATGCTGTTTCGTTTGAGTAACGTATCGGGATCATTAACACCGATTGATCGTGTGTATGAGTTCATGTCTTTAGACGCTAGACAGTTTTTCGAAATTCTGAAACAAATTCAAAATTACACTGTCTAGAACCAGCTTCCTTGTGCATATCTCACGGTTGTAGTCTATACAGGCTAGGGTATCTGCGGCTCACCATCCAACCGTAGGATAAAATGCAAAGTGTGAGATAGGATAAGTTTAAAAATTTGGAAATTTTAGTATAAATTGTATATTTATATACTTATCCTATCTCACACGCGATAGGCCCACCCGACCATCCCCGCATCTCATTTACTCTAGCCTAGAGAGGCACGTAATTGACCTAGCTTTTGGACGTAATGGAGATGAGTGGGTGGCTATTTTTAGTTTAAGGAGCTGGATGATTCAAGCACGTTCCCACATAGGATCGAAGAAGAAGGGAGAAATGCAAAGTGTGAGATAGGATAAGTATATAAATATACAATTTATACTAAAATTTCTGGCAGATTGATGTGATGTTGATGGGTGTTGTTAGTTCTAGTGGTCCTATTCTCGTTTGCTTAATTTATAATAATTACACCCTTCATACAATAAATCGTTTTTGGCGTGGGTGTGGACGTGTGTTTGTATATCGCGGCTGTTATCTGTTGAAATAAAATACTTTTAAAGTACAGTTTACACACAGACAGACAGACAGACAGTTTATTCAGTAATTTCGGCATCAAGGCCCATAGTACAATGCAGATTGGATATTAACATTTGTCACGTGTTGTACATGATTAGATTTTAAATCAAGTTACACATTCCTCATTTTAAAGACATGTTTTAAGAATACAGAAACAGCATGGATCATATCAGGAATTTCAGAGTTAAGCAGATTATCATTAACTAACGGTCTTTAGAAATACCTTGCAATATTCCTTAAATGGGAATACGTTTCACATATAGGTAAGACATGGTATTCATCTTCTACTTCTCCGGATGAACAGTTTGTACAAATAGACCTCGCAATATCACCGTCTTTGGACCTGCGACATACATTTACATTAAAATTGTGTAATGAAATTCTAAGTGTACAATTAGCTCTTATTAAACTTTTATCATTTAAACAAGTTGAATATCTTTCAGTTTGTAACAATGATTTTACCTTGCTGTAATTGCTAAGATAAAGTGATTCAGAAATACTTTGGTGCCACTGTTGACAAAATATATGCTTTAGTCTTTGCTTAAATGAATATAAAAATAATTGTGGATCTCCCACATCTTGGGAAATCCATACATATGAAAAGCCAATAACAAATAATAGATTTCTCACATCTGAAACCCAATTATTTTTACCATTATCATTAAGTACCTTTAACATTTTATAACACTGATATGGGTATCTATCAGGCATCATTCTAAGTAATTTAATCCAATACTTAATTACCCTTATCGGCTGGCTACAAAAATATTACTACGGCCTGTTTCATCAAGGATTGCCTTGTTTCAGGCAAACTTACCAACACCGAGTAAACATTTGAAATATGAAGTGTGAACTTTTTCAATTGCAGCGTAGTACTTAGCACCGCATATTTCAGAACCATACAAGAGTATAGGCATAATTTTGCCTTCAAAAATGGTACATGCTGTGAAAAATGACACACAACTATTTTTCCTGAATGAATTATAAAGAGGCATAATGGCTATCGACGCATGAACAGCTAATTGCTTACATGCCATAGACCACGACAATCTAGAGGAAAACATAAGACCTAAATATTTATAGTAAGTGACTACACTCAAGGCAGACGAACCAAGAAACCATTTTTCATGTTTTGCAACAATACCACCTTTTCTAAAAACTATAGCATTGGTTTTATTCAGATTTACTTTACAAGACTCCATTTTGAACAGTTACTCTGTAACACATTTAACTGTTTTTACAAGCCATTTACAGAATAGGAAAAGAATTACAACTTCATCAGCAAAGAGAAGGAGCATAATGCCCATTATTTTTTGTGTTACAAATATCCCATGTTGGCAACTATTTTGCAGCTCTATAGCAAGTTCATTTATGAAAAATATAAACAACAACGGACTTAAAACACAACCTTGTCGTACACCGGAGGATGTTGTAAAGCAGTCCGTACGTTCATTATTGACCTTTATACATGCGCTGACTGGTGCATACATGTTTTTAAAAAAGTACAGACATTGTACCATGACATCCTAGTAATAAGTAAATACATCATTTTTTCCTATTAACATAGTCAAAAGCTTTTTAAAAATCAATAAATACACAATAAAAGCGACCTCTGGTTTTGCACAAGTATTTAGAGCAAAGAGCTTGTAAAACAAACAAATTATCAACAATAGAGTAGTTAGGTCGGAACCCTGCTTGAGACTCGGACAGTAAATCATTTACTTCCATCCATATTCTCAATCGTTTTTCTATGATTGAGGTGCAGATTTTCCCCATAACATTTAGCAGTGAAATGCCTCTACAATTACTTGGTTCACAAACTGACCAAGATTTATGCAATGAAATAATCATACTTATATTCCAAGATTCTGGAAACACACCTATGTCTAAAATCTTATTGAACAATAACTTCAAGTATTGTGCTAAGAGATCCGATGGTACTTTAAAGAATTCAGGGGGTATCCCATCTTCACTTCCGGACTTGCCCGTACTGAGATTATTGCCCGAGACCTCTCTTTCAGTGATCTCACCTGACAGGAGTTCATCCGAAAAGGGTAAATCATTACAGTAATCACATGTATGAGAGAGCAGAAACTCCTCCACATCACGATCAAAAGTTTACACACAACGAGTTCCTTCAATCGACGAAGTTAATAAATTTTAGATTATAAGACATGAAGGTGAAATGATTATTTATTATCTTATATGATTCTAAACAAACGATTATTTGAAAACGGCACACACTGATGTTTAAAATCATCTTGAAATTACTATGTCGCATCACATCGCACAAATTATATCTCAGACTGTTTTTTTTATCTTATATTTGTCTGACATTAATGCAACACAAACATTTTATCAGAATGTTCAAAACGTAACGAGAATTTCTTCCGCATGTACGAGTGACATCCCTTTATACAGTCAGTATGTATTACGTATATGATACGTGCAATGCCATAATGCTTTGACGTCACACATATGGTATGTTTTGGCTTAACATGCAATCAAATGCATCATAGCCAATATGTTTATTAGTAGTATTCCATATATATTAGCCATATTTCACAAAATCCGTATCTCCTCTTTTGTTTAACGCCGCACTCAGCAATATTCCAGCTTTCGGCGGTTTGTAATTAATTGAAGACTACCTAGGGATTGACATCATGAGCATCGATCTACACAATTGGGATGCGATGACATGCGTCTTACGACAAGCATGGGTTGCTGAAGAACAATTGTAAATCGGATCTTTGTAGAGTTTAATATCAGTCTTACGGTTCGTATTGTGTAAGCATAATAGCTGTAGAGGATGAGTTTTGTTTTTTTATTCACACTGACAATGCACAAGAACCTGAGAAGGTACCCTACGACCACCTCATAAACCCTCATGCTGATATCACGACAATGCCTCAGACAACTGACTGTTTGTCCCTGTCGTTCCGCAGGTAATATTATCTTCGGGGACGAAGGTCGAGTCCTGACAGTGACTCAGCCGATAAAACCTGATGACATCATGTGTTTCCAGTGCCAGATCACCAACGACATCGGCTCCGTGTTTTCCAACGGTTGTCTCAACGTCATTAGTAAGTAGCTTCGTTAACTATTTCATAGTATCAGGACGTAATAGTAGCAGTAAGTTATAAGAATGCAATGATATGTCTCCATAGACGTGTCGATTCCATTTTGTGTGAATTCTGTTTCTATTCATGTGACAGAGTACCATGTATTGAGAATCCTACACGTTTGGATTGGTGGATACACTTTCCATAGCCTTGTATGTTGTGTGTCAGGGAACAACGATTTTATTTGGTTCTGTTTTTAATATCACATTTCTATTTTCAACTTTTTAGACTTATTTCATGATCAGGAGACTACAGTGTGCAACTTTACTACCCTCGACCATCGATTTTTTCAGTCCATACTTTCCTGTAGACGGTTCATTCTTACGCTCTTTGTGCAATGCTGGACACACACTGCTGAGATACAAGTACAAAATCTGCTTGTAGTAATTGCTTATATTCTTATATCGTCAGCAGTTTATATTTGACCCCTGCCTTGTGTCCCATGCAACTAGCCCGTATATTGAGTGATTAGCTCACAGACCCAATGCCCTACATTAATACAAACTGAGCCCATTCTGTATTCAGACGTTCAATGCCAGGGACGTATGTCTATTTATTAAAACGATGTCATAGCTGAAGATTGTTGACGTCATTCGACAAATTGTGGTTCCCCTGCTGTTGCGACTTGCTGTCCTTATTGACCTTTTTCACACTTTCGCCATCTTGGATCGAAAACGAGGTTTGGGGAGCATAGCTCCATGCAGTGTGGTCGCATCAGCTGATAGGGAACAGAGAGCATGTTGTGCATTTAACTGATGGACATCTCAAACACAAAAAGGGTATCATCTGTATCCAATACAGAAGATATTGCACATTTAATCCCGAGGACCAACTAAAATATGCCTGTTATACACTGGAATTCGCATTTTGCTGTGAATCGAAAGGTGCATTTCGAGATACGTATTTCCGAAATAGATTGTTTTATCACAACCTCGTCGGCATATGGGTACAATGTAATAGTATATTTAATGACAGAAGTTTTGTATGAAGTGTGTCTGGTCTAAATGAAGTTCATGCAGATAAATGTATGAAATATTTGATGATACTTATGACCAAACAAAAATATCAAAGTATTCTTTTCATAAAGTTTCAAAAATAAATATACAAATATATTTTTACAGTCCATTTACACTCTATCTTGAAAGCTGGATATATGTAAATATTAAATTGTTTATGAATTGTCAAAAACTAATAATATATACCATATCATACATGTAGATTATCAAGTTTAATGTTGAGAAAATCTCAGTTTCGGAGGATGTATTGAAATTATGTCATTGTAATATGATTTCAAAAATTAAATCATTGAGATATCTCACAAAAAGTTCAGCATGCTTAAAATATATCCATGATGTTCATGTTGTTGATTTTGGGTGGTTTTTTTCCAAACATTTACAAAATTCTTACAACATTATCTGCCATCAAACATGTAAATGGTGTTTTATGTTACCTATGAACATACCAACCTCAAATTTTACCCAAAAAATGGAATATAATTTCATCTGTTCAGTCAGTAATAAAATGTCAAAGTGGGTCGGGGGAAAACCTATTTGACATATCATCCCCAAACATTGTTATTTTTTCTATGTTTCCAAAACCCGACAATACATTTAAGGAATCACTATTATCTAAAATCATCTGGATTTCTCATATTTAACAAAGAAAAATAACCCAAAATTTCCATGTCTTATTTCTCACAATATAAGATTGTTTATCGTCCACTTCAGTTATTCAGACGTTTCAAAACTTAACATGGCCCGGGTGTTCAGTCAAAAGCACCTAATTAAATTCCAGGAGAAAATAATTTTCTTGCTTGGCAACAAATTGTACAATGTGTTTTTGTAGAATAGTTTTATTCAAGTATCATGAGTCTGATAAATATCGGCCATGTTGTTGAGTGAGTGAATAAGGCTTTTCATTTCCTCGTCCTTTTTAAGTGAACGTAACATGAAGCACTTTTGTTGAGTGAGTCAATATGGCTTTCACTTCCTCGTCCTATTTAAGTGAATTTGACAGGAAGCACATTGTACCCAGTGTGTTACAATCAGCCGAAAGCTCCCCCAGACCTCCATCACCGGAGATGGTTTTAGTTTCAGCATACATCTTCTCCGTGAAGAAACATAGTGGACTCTGTAAACTGTGTAGATATTCATTGTGTATAAATAATTCAATAATATTGTAATAATATTTCTACTTATACGATTTTTTTTACAAAAAAATGCATATTCACCTTCTCTCAAAATATTGCTTATTCAGAAAACAACATTCTTCTGAAATAGAGAAATTCACGTTTCGTCACACCTACAGTCAGTCTGCCTCATTGGCACTATGGTTTTCTGAGTAAGGTCATGAAGATCACAAAGAAAATATAATATGAATAAGACTTGTATTTATTTGGTCAAATGAAATGTTTATCTCATCTTGTGGTTTACTAAAGTTGATATTTTGATTTGTGGCTGTGCCACTCGTGAAAATAATCATGCTATCATCGTTATTTGACAAGGAAAAAAAATTCCTAAGTTTTTATACTTTTTTCTATTTCTCGTCTTGACTGAATTATCAAAATTATCAAAATTATCACACCACTTGACTAGATTAAAATAAACTCATGCTCTAAAGATTGTGATCAATAGCAAAACATTATTCATAACAATATAGTTATTGCACACTGACACAGTAAGCACAACTATAATCTAATATATAAATTGATATGATTAATAATCAATAATACATTACATAGCATTTGCTGGCATAAAAGAGATTATTTTGTTTTAAAATTTTCAAAACATGTTTGTGTACATAAAAAAGATGGATTTCATAATTAAACAAAGGGAATAAATGAGTTATGATTGCAAAAATAATTATGTTTATAGTAATTTCAAACTCAATTTATGAATTTTCAATATTTGAATACAGACTGTTAAAGAGTTATCTGTTTCTGTACATAACATAAAGATCACATGTAGATTGAACATTTACTCGCCATTAATTATTTGGTTGTTTTTTTTCATTACATTACATGATTAATTTGGTACAGAAAAATAATTATCATTTTGGTAGAAATACTGTTTACAAAATTGCAGATCAAACTGTACTTCACTTTAAATATCTACACACCCTTTATGTTATAATTCAGTTGAAATATTACACCTCATGCTATCTAATCTGTCAACATTGACAATTAAAATAACTTCTGTTCACAATCACAGCAGCATCTATAGGTCTAATATCTTATTGGAATGTATTTGAGTCAATTACAATTTACATCAAATACACATCTGATGCAAAATTCTGATTTGCTTATGACTATAAATTCTCAATAGGTTACAATATGATAAATTATATCAACATATCAATTTAGTTAGTTTCAACCATCTATCTAGATATGGTCAAAAGTTCAATATTTTCTGCTCGACTTCAAATACAACTCGCAAAGTTATTCAAACTCACACCTTGACTAAAACACATAAATAAATAGTTTGGGTTAATGGTGTGTTAACAATGAATTATTCTTTACATGATCCCAGTAGGGTTTTATTAAGTCTGTTCAACTACAATAACCTGCACTGGGAGTTACCAGGTGGTCATGGATATTTGAAATTGAAATCACAACAGAACGGCCAGACTCACTTGCTAAATGTATATCAGTGAGGAGACCAGATAACAGTAGAAAATTTTGTCAATGAATAATTATAGTGTTCAATACTTACGATAATTGTTGCCGTGATAGTACCGGAATGGTATAATTGTCACAGTTTTTCTTGATTGCGTCCTTGTTGACATCTCTATGTGTATCATGTGCTATCCAGCCTTCACCTTCTGCTCTCCAAGCCTCGCTTTAAAACCGGAATTAGCAAAGAGTGACAAAGGTCAATAGGTAAACACTAAAAATACCGGGATTTAGACACGAGTGTCGTAAACATAGTATGACATGAACACTCATATTATATCCTCTATGTATGAAATCATATGTAATCCTACATTCCAGAACCAATCAAAGTGACTACCCAGCCTCCACTTAAGCAGGGCATCAAGAAAGGTGATCTGGTGAACCTCACTGTGCGGGGAACCACAGACCCGGGGATGACACTCAGGTACAGATGGGAATTCAAGAAACACACGTATTACACAGGACTACCGCCACATGTGGTCTACGATGACGCCACGAAACAAACCTACATCAACACTACAAGTCTGAGCGATGAGGAGTACAGACATATAGAAGGAACCTACACCGGAGTGCTGTACCACGACTTTGAAACCCGCCGTGTAGTTATTGACGTTGTCCTAGATGATGGGACAGGTGACAGATATCAAGTGACAGGTTTGTACCCTTGATATGAACAATTTGATGTTGTCACCATGTCTGCTGTGCCAAGCATGTGTCATATGTCTCTCAGATGGATAGTGCGTGGGAGGAAGGTTTCTAATCCCGGCGTGGTGTCCATAGGCCGTGATATGCCTAAAATATTGCTAAAAGCGCCTTAAAAGCTAACCACTCACTCACTCGCTGGATGTGTTCCCCGAGGTGTGTACTTCTGTTGTGCCTGTTGGTTACTGTGCGTTCTGGGGTGGTTTCAGGCCGACGTATCCATATAGGTTCAGTTCAAATATGAAATGCTTGGAAGAAAAGAGGCCTTCTGTTCTATTCAAGCAAAGTTGTGTGAAATCTGCATGTTGTCCTAATTTATATTGTTCAATTTTAAGACTTTTATAGTCTTTAGTGCTTCTTATCATAGTTCAAATCATTTCAGGATGAAAAGAGGGGGCACGGGTGGCCCAGTCGTCTAAGGCGCCGCGATTCGCTGTGCAGAGTTGCGTCCCTTGGGCACGCCAGAAACCTATGATTGTGGGTTCGAATCACGGTTCGCCCCGATTATGTTTCTAGGTTTGTCAGCACCATACTCGTGCTTGTGGGTTTCACCCTCGAAGTGGTAAACGTCTGAGACCTGCATCACTTCGGGCTTTCCTCCCACATGAAGCTGACACGCCGTGATATAACTGGAATACTGTTAAAAGCGGCGTTAAACCCAACTCACTCATGGTATCATATAGTACAAATAGGTGTTTTGTTTTTGTTGGAAACCTGATATCGTACAGAAATCTTAAGTGATAACTGATAAATTTATCATCTACCTGTAATGAAACATGTCACTCATCTTTGTGCTTAATTTATTTACAGGATTCCAATTCCAATCCTCTAGATTCTTCTACTTTCATTTTAAAAAATTCGGTTTTGTATTTTGATATTTCAGCTAAAGTATACGTAAAAAAGGAGGCGCCACCCTATATTTGTTTCAGATAAAAGTTGACTGCAATTCAGTTCTTACCCACCCCCCTCCCCCGCCCTCCCAGCGTCTATACGTCTATCAAGGGAAGACGTGCAACATGTGGCCGCAATGAGGATTGGCGGATCAGTAACATTAACCTGCCTCAGAAAACAACAATAATTTGCCCATGATTTTACATGCATGAGGAGTAAGAATTATGGACATTCTTGAAATAGATAGAAATTCTCTTTTTATGAAGGTGATTTTGCTATTTATCTTTTCGTGGAGGGTCATCCAAAGAAACTGACAAGCATTGGGGGAAAGTCATTATTTTCTGTACATTAATGCATCAGAAACCTCTGATTGTTTCAGGTGCAGATCTAGACGTCTGTGAAGAACACTCACTGTATCCGTGGATATATTCATTGTCTGCGGCAGTCGTTGTGCTCCTGTTCATAGTGGTGTTTTTAATTATAAGAAGGTATTCACTTTAGGTCTCCTCACTAAACCACAAGTTACAAGAAATCTATAGATCTACTCTTTTTTTTGCCATTTTGGTGACCTCTTCACGCTTTATAATGCCTACTTATTTCCATGGAGTTTATGCTGTGAGTACCCTCGACCCAGAATGGATAGTTCAACTCGATTTTGTTTAACGGAGGGCATGGTCTATGTTTTATTATTGTGGAATAGGGAGAAAATGTGGTTCTTGCTTTTGAGGTTTTATTTACACACTCACCCAATGTTACGAGTCGATTCCCAAATTGAAACAAGATGTTAACCCAGGTGAGGTGGGGTGAAATGGGGTTTAACGTCGCGTCCAAGATTATTGCACTTATACAGCGACGTGCATGCACGTGTGTGTGTGTGTGTGTGTGTGTGTGTGTGTGTGTGTGGCTGCTTGTACTTGTTCGGACTGATGCCGATTTATAGTGCTAGCACACTGAGATACCATGCCGCAGTTTAACATGAATACCCCACTCAGACACAGTATACTGACTCCGAGCCGACCAGTCCTTGTTTTAACCCCTTAATGCCGAGCGCCAGACAGGATAACAACAAGTCGTTTAACGTCTTTTGGTATGACGCGGCCAGGGGTCGAACCCTGGACCTTCCGCTGTCCGGGCGGACGCTCTACCACTAGACCACTGAGGCGGTCTGTTAACCCCAAATCTGTACGTAACAGAACTTAGTGTGAAACAAGTGGTATACAATCAACAGATGTATTACAAAAATTAACTACGTTTACAAATCAATACAAATTACTGCACAACACGTACAATGGCACTACACAATAGAGTGGTAGAACAATATTCAATGGCATAATATAATATGATTGTAGCGGTCAGCATCAGATACATAAAAAAAACAGTGGTGATGGCAAAATACAGTGGTGATGGCAAACGTCAGTGATAATACTATATATTCAAGTAGCGGCGAAAGTGGTCAAGCTTCCGAGATGGTCTTTTCAGGGAATCAGGGATGATGAGCGATTATCACATGAAAGCTGGTTCCGAAGCGCTGAAAAGCGTGAGGGATACGAAAAAACGCTATTGTCCCCTTTTTTAATACCTAACAAGCTACCTGAAATGTCCATACCGTGCCCTCAGCAAATAGAATACGGACCGGAAGTTTACGCACCATACTAGCATCGAAATATAGTAATTCCTGACGACTGATCATTGTCGAAACACAATAAGCGTCTACCCAATCCCAACAGAAACAATAAAATACACTGGCATATAACAACTTCTTGAAAAAGAGTATTTGGCAGAAGTCATAGCAACTAAGTAGTCACGCCCGAATGCATTTATATGTGAATATTAAAGGTTAACAAGTTTAGTATGACATGAAAGACCAGAGTGGCGCAGATCGCAGCCGTTTATCACTTTTGCTGACAGGAATCACATTTTGTTTAAAAGTTACAGTCAACACAAAATGAGATAGGCAACTAGGATTTCCGTCAACAACGATTGCCACAATATACCACAAACTGTGAACCGACTGTAGTTTTTCAATTATCAGGACTTTTGCTGGTGGTATTAAGTTTCAAAATAACAACCCTTCCAACAGGATGTCTTCACGCGCCATACATATACAATATAGTATGTTTCCTCTTCTGCAGGCCCACATGTACCTGTCCGACTCAACAACCAAGTGAGGCCTACCTGACTCCAGTCGCCATCAACATGAGTCATGTAGTAGGAGGTGGCGAAGCGGGAGGTGACGATGGTCCTTACTATTCCACCATACCCGATGTGCCCGCGCCGACGAGATGTTAACGCCAAATCTATCTGCAGGTGATGCCACCGTCTCACGTTGATACCACACCTTGAGAAAGGACTTACAAATAATTTTCTCTTCGTGTTTTTAAATCCATGATTAGGATAAGTTCAAATATTCACATGTGACTGCATGTGTTTTGTATTGTATGTTATCTTAATAACTTAGGAAATTAATTTATTTAATGAAGCCTAATGTCATAGTCACAAGCGTCCTTGCGAAATTGAGTTTAACTTATTAGTGCACTTACATAGTCACGTAGGTACGTGGTGTACGTGTGTGCGTCCTCTGAGATACCATGCCGCAGTTTAACACAAATTCCCCACTCAAACACAGTATACTGACTCCGAGTCAACCAGTCTTTGTTATCCCCTTAATGCCGAGCGCAAGGGAGGGAAACAAAAAGTACCGTCTTTTAACGTTTTTTAGTAAGACGCAGACGGGGATCGGTTCCCTGACATTCACCTCGACGCGCAGACGCTCTGTACACTATTTAGAAGAGGCGTTATATATAATAAGCCAGGTTATACAGTTGCGACATTCCTTATTCGTTGAAAAGATTTTTCTGTGAACATTGCTCGATTCTGTAGAAATCATTGTATTACACCTATAGCTGGATCGTTATGTGGTAAGATTACTGTTTGTCTGCATATTTGTTCCTTATGTATTTTCACACCATAATTATTGTATATATATATATAAAGGAGAGAATACTCAGAGTGATTGGGTGAGTGAGTGAGTGAGTGAGTGAGTGAGTGAGTGAGTGAGTGTGGTTTTAGCAATATTCCAGAAATATCACGGCGAGGACAACCAGAAATTGGCTTCACACATAGTAACCATGTGGGGAATCGAATCCGGGTCTGTGGCGTGACGAACGAACGCTTTAACCACTAGGCTACCCCACCTTCCCCTACTCGGAAACAGCTTAAAATTTCCAAAATTGTAAGATATATTAGTTTCGAGTTATAGTTGTATGGTATTAATGAACGAATTGGGAACAGTTTCAACCGGTGTACTAGGCATACTGCATATGGGTCTCCCAGTGGCGATTTGGGGAAGTCGGTCCCGCTTTTCTCAACGTGGTCGGCGGCCTATAACGTTGACGCACGTCTCCCTAGCATGTCCCAAACGTGTTCAATTGGGGAAAGGTCTGGGCATATTGTTAGTCATGACTCTTTATGGATGGTGTTCTGCTGGAGGGGAGTATTGACGATGAGCGCGGGCTTTGTCGTCCTGAAAGACTAAACTTCGACCCACGTGGCTTGCAAACGGGGCAACAGATGGTGTAGTGGAGCTCGGTGAGTCACAGTGATGCCAAACAACACCATCAACGACCCACCGCCAAATCTGTCATGAGGTCTCAGGTTGACACTGGCTTGACAGTCACTTCGACGTGGCCAGACACGACCACACCTATCGAAGAAGTGCAAATCATGACACGGGACTATTGTCGATTACCCCAGTTTCGACGTTGTGTTGGAAATATGACGATTCATTAAGGGGCGGCAAAACACGTGGCTGTCGAGCATGGAGATGAGCCTGACGGTGTCTTCTACATCTGGACGTCTGCAATTTGATTCACCGTTTGACCTCGATTTCGTAGAGCCTGGACGGGGTCGATCGTCAACATTTACGTCACGCCGAAGACCCGGGTTAGATTCCCGACATGGGTACAATGTGTGAAGCCCATTTCTGGTGTCCCCCGCCGTGATATTGCTGGAATATTGCTAAAAGCGGCGTAAAACCATATGCACTCACTCACTCACTTTTGTCCACTGCACGTGTACGTTTTACAGACATGAACGTTCTTGTTCTTGTACAGGATGTTTATGGTCAACACATACCTTTGCTTTATAATAATTTGTATTAACATTTATATTCTTTCATAATCCCCTACTGTATAAATTATGACACGTCGAACTCATGGGAAATAACACCTCCCAAATTATACAAGATATATATTAATGTTGATATTTGTTGATGATGTAATTCTGGTTTCTGATACTATACGTAGTTTACAGCACCAGATAAATATTTTAGGTTCTTATGCAGCGAAGTGGGGAGTGACTTTTAACTTTGAAAAATATAATGTTGTTTTTCAGCTATAGCAGTATGATATTATTGAAGATAGGTCTCAGCGCTCGAGGATGTAATACGTATCGATATCTGGGATTAGTTTTCACTTGTAAATGTAGTCAAAGTAAAGCTGTTTATACTGATCTAGCTGTACATGCCAAAAGGCTTTATTTGAGTTACTTACAACTAGAAAACTATGTATTACTGCCCCTGAAGTATTCTTTACGTTATTTCATTGTCAGGTTAGTCCGCTTCTTTTTGTACGCATATACAATTTTGGGGATCAATAGATTTGATAGTACAGATCTACTGGCTGGTAAAAACCTTTTACAAATTGGACGAAAAACACCTAATGTGGATGGCATATGTGGCCGATATCTGATGTATATCAACCCACTTGTTCGTAGCATTGGGTATTAGTATAATTATAGAAACACCTCCCCTAAAAGCGTACAAAATATTATTTTATTTAGATAATGTACCCTATATTTAGGGTAATAGAATAACTGGGCTTCAAATAATATACACTTAATATCTTCTCATGGTTTTGGTTTTGTGTGGCTGTCACAAACAGTTGAAGATTGTTATATTGAATGATTGTGCTTTTAAAATATTTCATCAGAATTGGACATCCACTATTAACAACATTTTTCGACATAACCTTGAGGAGAATTTAAAGTTTTGTTTAAAGTGTCTTTATTTGTGAATTAAAGCTTTGCAACCTATTTGAGAAGTTTAGAAATAATGAATATACACGTAGATGTATGTGTTAGAAACCTTTATGTGATCGAAGTATGGAAGATGAATATGATTGTTTCTATAACTTTTATTGCTATCAAGATTAAATTTTTACCAAAGACAAGTATCATTAATGTTAATATGAATCATTTATAACCATATTTATAACAAATCAAATCATTATGCTCGTGTATTTATCATGCTTATTAAAGAATAAAGTATTTGTTAAAACATTTTTACAATTATGTATATTGCTACTACTTTGAAATTGATTTTTGTATGTGGGCCTATGGCCTTATACTGAATAATGTATTGATTGATTGACTTTCTCACTGATAAATAGGACATTCAGGCATGGGTTACACTCCTTGATGATCTGTTTCTTCGTGCATATGAATCTGAATTTCTGCTCGGATTGGGAAAATGAAAAAACGGGAATAAGGGTCAAAATGTTTAATATATGCTTCAGGTATATCGGATATCAAATTACCTATTCCGTTTCACTGATTTACCCACCTGAACTAGAAATAAAAGAGATCAGTGACACCACCTTATCTGTTTTTAGATCAGAATGACAAAATCTTTTAGTGCTCCAATAGTCAACTTTCCTTTTTATGTGGAGCAATACTCCAAGAGCTACGGCCCTTGTCTTTTTTCAAAACTTTTGAGGAACAATAGAGCATGCTTTTTCTATGGTGATTTCAAAGAATCTTATGACTTGAACAAAAGTTGTTTGATCAAGGTCACATGATACAAGGCCTAATTAGAGCTTTTAATGGACATATGGAAGACGTTTCCAAACTTCACGTATCAGTGCTCAAAACGATGCCCAATGCAATTTTTACTAAGAGCAGCTCAGTATTTGATTTGTCGATCATAGGAATAGGCAGATTATTGGTTAAAGTTAGACTAGAAAAAAAGGTACACCGCGAACAAATCTAACTTGTTAGAACGACTAAAGTTTCACAGGAGACATATCTCTGTTATATACCTCCTGACTTCAATTCGTGAAAATCTTCGTTAGAATAGGCATTCAGCAACCCATGCTTGTCCTAAAGGCGGAAGTATGGGGGCAGTCATTGACGGTGATGAAAGCCATTGATGTGACAATGATATAGACTATAGAGAACAAAGTTACGGTGTCACAGCTAGATTGGCCATCTCAGAACCGAGACGTAAGAAATGTTTTTGAAGAACACTGATATAAACGCTTTCAACCTCAATGTGTATGGAAGTCGATAAGAAGTACTGTCACTTGTGTGATCAGAAACACGACCTTCGTGGCTGTACAGAGAAGCGAAGCCATAATACGAGTGCACGGTTCCGACAGTATCATAAGGATGCGTTCATAAATCACTGGAGGCACTGGTGGCCCAGTCGTCTAAGGCGCCGCGATTCGCTGTGCACGTCAGAAACCTTTGATTGTGGGTTCGAATCTCGATTCGCCCCGATTATGTTTCTAGGTTTTTCAGCCATACCATGGGTTTCACCGAAGTGGTAAACGTCTGAGAACTGGATCACTTCGGGCTTTACTCCCACATTAAGCTAACACGTCGTGATATTACTGGAATACTATTAACAGCGGCGTTAAACCAAACTCTCTCACACACACACACACACACACACACACACACACACACACACACACACACACACACACACACGCACACTCATAACTCACTAGTCTATCAAATAGCAGCTGGAATATATATATATATGGAATCATGTTCCCGTTCGTCGAGACACTTTCCTTTGCTTGTGTTTGCGACGGGTAACATCCTTTGGGCAGGAGGATGCGCTCTCCTTTTCTCGAACACCTGTTATATCACTAATTGATAGTGAAACATACACACATGCTTATGATACAGTCGGAATCGTACAACGGATTTCTACATTAAACATGAATACCCCACTCAGACAGTCCCAGTTTTAGCCCCTTAATGCCGAGCGCCGGACAGGGTAACAAGAGGTACCATCTGTTAACGTCTTTTGGTATGTCGTATCAAACCCCGGACCTTCCGCTCTCCGGGCGGACGCTCTACCACCAGACCAAGGAGGCGATGAATATGATTAGTACCAAAGATGTTTGGAGCAAATTGGTGATGTTGTGCTGTCAGTCTTTTGTGACGTCAATATTCCAAGTTGTCCGAATGTTTGTCAAATCAAACAGTGTAATTTCCCGACTGGGGGACAAGTGCCGTCAAACGGGTAGGATTGCAATGAGACCTGGGCGTGACGGGCCTAAAAAACCAAGACACCCAGACTAGAGCGTCTCATTACATTTATTGCACTACGCAAAAACATCAACTCCGCTCCTGTTATCAACAGAAAGACGAATTTCAACATGTGCCTTTAAAAGTTGACTCTATGCAGACCGCCCTGTGAAGGATGTGACCCTAACAGCTTACCATGAGCTTGACAGACCAGGTACACGCTTTGTATTTACTGACGAATAAAGGTTTTGCCTCCGATTCACAGATGGCAGAAAAGGTTGTTGGCGACGAAGCGGGGAGCGGGTATTAGGGTGGTAGTGTGATGGTGTGGGAGGGTATCACGCGTGAAAGGCGAACTGATTTGGTTATTGTTTATGGACATTTCACTGGGCACCGATATGTTGAAGACATTTTGGATTCTCTCCTACGCCAGAGACCCATAATCCGCCAACGGGGCAAAGCTTGGAGTAGCTCTCCAGGTGGAATGGCGGGCAATACCAAAGTGAAGTCAAAGGTATGTCATCCATGAATCACTGAACAAGGTGGACACAGCAGATATTGATCTACACGCCCTAGATTAATTCTACACACCATTATTTCATTACACTCTCACTATCATTTCATCAGTTCCCTTTATTGTCGCTGGTATATTGAATTATATTTTGACAAAGTTGTAGCTTCGACATATGTATCTCGATAAATTTGTCCGACAAACTCATCCATTTGACGGTGACATCTGTACCCTACACTTTCATGAATATGAGCAAGAATTGTTTCAAGTTAAAATTCACTGCGAACCTTTTACTGCTGCCATATTCCGGGATCCCCCTTGGTCTGCGCAGATTTGGCTATGTTTCTCTGGTCAAAAAGGGTGACCACCACAAGGACACTCAAACCATTACACAGGACCAACCAGACACCATATACTTGTAGTGGAGAATAACTGGCATAGAGTCAGGGTTATCAATAATATTCCAGTATACTAATGCATATGTAGTCGACAGTCATGTCCTACTGTCTTAATTCTTTATTGAATGTAAAATAACGCGTAGGACTTTGTCCTATGCTACAAGTGAAGGTCGACAGAAGACAGTATGGCCAAACGAGGATTCATTGCGTGATGCACAAATATGGCTGTATTTCTCGTTTTGTCGACTGGTTTGACATTAGAATATTAAACACAGATATTGTAGGATGGTTATGGAACTTTTCTTCTGTCGAAGATTACCATAAGCGATAACAGGATGGTAGCCCGTGTCACATATCTCACAAACCTTTCGTCCTTGGGAGTGTTATTGTATCGACCTGTTTCCACGTAAAGAATGTGAGCCATTGCTGACCTGAAGTAACCTAAATTTACTGATAAATGCTGGTACTAGTTAACTGAGCAGGTTGATTTAAGAGCTTCACGATACAATATATTTAACCCTTTTTAGGGTAACGACGCATACTTACAATCTTGCACCATTTGGAAATGTAATGTCGAAAACCTTAAAATTCACATGATTATCATTTGGTTAAAAATGTCTCAGGTACTTACATACAGAGCACTTAACCCGCTTTGCCTCTAGCAATACATTTGACACATGTCTACTCCAACTGTTTTTTGAATAAGTAACCCCTAAGTATTTATACGATGACACACATTCCAACGGAAGACACCATAATGCAAACTTTTCATATTTTGTCAGTATTCCCTTCTTTTTGAAGACAGCAATTTTTGTTTGATCAATGTTTACACGTGTCAACAGTTTCAGTGTTAACAATACAGTTTATGTCATCTGCATACAACAAGAGAAAAAGCTGCAACAGCTCTGGATAGAATTGAATTCACGGATAGTGATTCATAAATACATGCGCATGATATCTTCGCAATAGTACAATGATCTCTGCTTTAGGCACAAATTTCTTATGATTATGGAAAGTATTTTGTCTTCTTATACCAGCTTTAACCCATTCTGCCAGTAACGATGAAATGTATATGGTTTGTATCCTTTCTATAGAGTTACTGATCCATTGAAGTTTACTATATACATATTTTATGGTTATGCGTTGATATTTCCCCTCAACGAGTAAGGAATCTAAGGTGTCATGGCCAAACTATATAAATTTTGTAAAACAAAAGATCACAAGCCTCATGGAGGATCAGGGCCATACTCCACTAAACAGTCTTCGTTACTGGCAAACCTTACAGTTGCGTTTACTTTGTGGGACTTGTCACTATAGCACTGTGGAATCACCACGGGGCGGGTGTACCTTAATTACCAGGAGAAACCGTATTGCTTGTCACATGTATGTGTCCTGATTTAGTACAGAGGGCCTCCTTTCCCAGTGAATTCAGCGACAAACGTGTCAAACAACATTGTGATAGGAGAGTTGCCTCCCTTAGATCACTCAACAACCTGACATTATACTCAAAGGCAAAAGTAACTGTGACGACGTTTTTCATATTCTGATATGATGGTAGTACATTGCTCAAAACCCCTACTTTATTCTTTGGAAAGTTGAACCATACTGATTTATTATTGGATTGAGTGTTTACCCATTGGCTTTCTTAAGAATCTGACAAAAATTCAAAATCTCAAATTCAACTTCTGCTTAGCAGTTCTTGTCTTATGATGAAATGTTTGTTTAGTTTCATTCAATATTAGCGATGTACAACTGTTTGAACGAGAGAGAAATCGTGAGGTGTGACTTTCTTTTTTGCCTCACATACACATTAAGACGGCATCAAACTACCCAAGTGAATCTTAACTATTGCAAGTGGTAAAAAATGTGCACAGTGCGTGATCTGTCTGTAAAACCCTACTGCCAGTAGCATCATATTCGTGGTTATTATTCAGTTACCAAGAAGTTGATATGATCTGGTGTTAACAATATATACACTTTTGTGTTGTGCTCCCTCAACCGGTTGCTTACGGTTCTGCCTCTAACTGATCTCAACCTTGGAATTGTCCAAGCTGATAATGAAGCAGTTTGGTATCGATTCCGCAGATGAACCGATCGAAAATTGTTGTCCTGTTGACGTAGATATCACGACACATGGGCGACCGGCCCGTGTCAAGTCATGAGTGTTACCCTACTGCAGATAACGTTCACATTACAAAAAAGCACGAGTTTTGGTATAAAGCTGCGAACACACACGCAAACATTCCAACTGAATAATCTTCATGAATGTGTATTGACAGATGCGGTATTTATTCTCAGCATAATTATTTATATTTTTCTTAATATTGGACTTTATATGGAACACATTTACTTTTTCCATTATTATATGTATCACATGATGTATCAAAGCCTAGCACGCTTATCTCGGTGCTCAGCTATGTGTATCATTTTCAGTACATTACACTATAAATACCTCAGTGTTCAACCTCATGTGTAAGGCGTATGTTAATGGTAGGCCCACCAATATAGTGACGTGCATGTGTGCATGTGTGAGTGTGTGTGAGTGTGTGTGTGAGTGTGTGTGAGTGTGTGTGTGTGTGTGTGTGTGTGTGTGTGTGTGTGTGTGTGTGTGTGTGTGTGTGTGTGTGTGTGTGTGTGTGTGTGTGTGTGTGTGTGTGTGCGCGCGCGTGTGTGCGCGTGCGTGTGCCTGTACTAGTCCGGACAAATTCCGATTTTTAGTGTTAGCCCAATGAGATACCACAGTTTAACATGAATAACCCATTCAGACACAGTATACTGAATTATAGCCGACCAGTCCTTGTTCTAGCCCCTAAATGTCGAGCGACAGGAACGGTAACTACCATAATTTAACGTTTTTTGGATCGAACCCCTGACCTGCCGCTCTCCAGGCGGATACTCTACCACTAGACCACGGAGGCGGTGTATGACTCATGATCAACAATCCCTACATTCGGTATGTTCCATACATATATATAGGTTCAACTTAAATACAATGTCCATATATGTCTCACTGTTCATCCTTTACATCTTGCATTAGCCTCTGTGTCTCAATATTAACCTGTGTGTATCCTATTGGGTAATGTGTGCCCATATTATGTGTGTCGTACTGTTCAACTCTATTATCACACATGGTATATTTGTCTCCATGTGTCTTTCTGTTATACGTACCATATCAGATGATAAAGCACGAGGCGATATATGTCTCATTGTTCAGCAATGTATATAATCTCCGATAAATGAGGCTGGTCATGCGTCACTGCTCGTCAATGCAGATAGTTCGTCAATGCGGATCCCATGTGGGATATTAGCCCATACATGCAACTGGGACATGGCAAGAGATGGAAAGGCCGTACACATGCTGTACATTGTTTGCATGAACGCTCCTATTCAGCACGTTCAGCGAAGTGAGGAGGGTAACTAAGGTGTTGTGGGCCTATGATGGCCGACGCTATTGTAACAGAACACGCACACTCTTCCTGGCTTGTGTCCTCAAAACCATACCGAACCGGTTAGTCTTCACTTGCGCAGAGGTATGCTGAAAATAAACTACGATAAACAACTTAGTAGCATAGGCGGATCTAACTGTGTTTTGACGTATATAAATGTGCAATATAAACTGACAATCCAACAGAAGCCTACGCACAGATCGTCAGAGCATTAAGACCGTGTAGAGATGCATTTGCATGCTGGTATCCGACAGTCGTAGATTAGAATCTCGGATTCTCTCTGACTCAGATTATTGGGTTTTCAGCGTCGCACTCGTGCTCGTGGATTCCACTAGCCTTGTAAACCGACATTAAGCTGACACGCCATGATGTTCTGTTAAACCCAACTCACTCACTCACTCACTCACCCAAGCAGTAGAAAAAGCCACACTCATGAGGTGCCACAGACTCGTGATACGTTCGTACCTTATCCGAATTATGAATGACGGCAGGCAAAGTGGTGTTAATTATAAAACAAAAAACACCAACATCTATCATTTTGATTACCATATTTTTAAGCTGAATGTATATGTTGTGAAATAAGTTTATATTGTTTTCTATATTCAGGGCATGAATTCAACATAATATATCCAAATGTGACAGAAGGTGTTGAAGTATTAAAAAAATAGTGCATAGAGTTATGCACTCATGCGTTTAATGTATATTCATGTTTGAAACCAGACAGGTTGCGGTAGAAGTCAACCGCTGTCACGCCAACAATGCATTGGCCGAGCTCAAGCAAGCAGTTATATCTAGTTTGAATACCCTATACCGGTAGCTACCCAGCCACTAACCCAGGGAGTTATCGCCGTGACTCTGACATACTTACAGCGCATTGAAGACAGGTGTGGGCGAGCTGCACCGGTATGACGGACCTTTGAAAAATTCGCCTCTGCTTGTTGACTCAGGATGTTACTTGGTCAACGCATCACGAACACCTAAAGGTAAGCACGCAGAGCAACTGACACAGTTCTCACATAGTCCATGTACTGTACAAAGGCGTAGGGAAGTATGCGCGTCTCTTGTACATATGTGTTTGTGTTATCATATACAGTGGGTCTCTATAGCGTGAGTACACTTTATGAATACCTTTGTCATGGGAGGCCTCGTTTGTGTAGCCTTGGTATAGCATTAACTATCAGTTGCTTTTTAGGAACACCATCGTTCGAATTAACTGAAACACATATTTGCCACCAGGAACCGGGTGGACTTTGAATATCACTAACGCGGTCACGTTGCTCTACCTGTCCGCCATGCTTCATATCTGGGTTACCTGGCTAGCCACAGTAGTATTGATCTGCCAGCACACTTCAGGTCGCGCTAATAAACGTGCTAGTTTAAACGATTTGGGTATTGGTGTAGTTGTCAAACGACTGTTACTCACTAGAAAATTAACATTTTCAAAGTATAATCAATGGGCATAACACACAATTGTCTGTTTCATGTATTGTAGAATGTGTGCTTCATGTCAAATGACCTCATGTCACGTCTATTTTTCACGTCTATTTGTAGATAACCTGTATGTGACCAACGAGAGTTAGCCACCACAAGCTCCAGTGAAGGAGGCACCGCTTCAATATGAGACTGTGCTTCACCGTCTTCTTTCTCCTCGCGCTGACCCAGCTGAACGGGGTCACAGCACAGGGTAAGACCAATGTCAATACAATTTCACATGACTGAGCTTGCAGCAGGTCACACAATGGAGTGACTGTATCGAACCTGACTGTAATCCTAGCACTGCGGCATTCAACGTTGCCAGTTTCTGAACATATATTGTTTAAGACTTAAGGTACCCCGATGTATCTGCATTAACGAGGTTTCCTTGTGTGCGTTCTGGGCAAGAGTTTAAGGTTTGATTATGTGAAGAGTTTCCAACATTTCATGGCACTGGGTCCGATGTCATTATTGAATTTACAATTTATTTCAAACAAATTTATATCGAAGAGCAGATGATAGTAGAGTTATTATTTGTCGTCCACATAATGACACCACTGTTACTTAAAGAAGGTATATGATCGAATAACACTCAGTAAACACTCCTACTGTGTGAGTCATTGTCATTTCCTGCATGTTGATAAGAATAGTCCTTGTCGTCAGGATAGCACCTGTGACTATTCAACATGTGTCATGGTACATATCTGACAATGTACACCTGATAAGGATAGGCACAACAAGGATTTTAACATACCAGTATATATGACGTACTTTACGGTACATGTATCATTGTATTATTGTTTACATAACATAACCGAGCGTCAGTAACAGCCTGGCAGGCGTACACGTACTGCAGTTACATTACATTTAGTCAAGTGAACTTGTGTATTTTTAGTTTAATGGTTTGACATCAAATATCAGATATAAATGTCAGATAACTGACTTGTTCACATGATAGATTCTCCGGTAATATTGTTGGATCATAGTAAGCCTCATTATTGTTACGTCAAAGGCATCAGGCAGTACATAGCTATAGTAAGCCTCATGGTTATACCAAAGGCATCAGGCAGTACATAGTAAGCCTCAGTGTTACATCAAAGGCATCAGGTAGTACATAGCTATAGTAAGCCTCATTATTGTTACGTCAAAGGCATCAGGTAGTACATAGTAAGCCTCAGTGTTATACCAAAGGCATCAGGTAGGACATAGTAAGCCTCAGTGTTACATCAAAGGCATCAGGTAGTACATAGCCATAGTAAGCCTCAGTGTTATACCAAAGGCATCAGGTAGTACATAGTAAGCCTCAGTGTTATACCAAAGACATCAGGTAGTTCATAGCAAGCCTCATTGTTACATCAAAGGCATCAGGTAGTACATAGTAAGCCTCATTGTTACATCAAAGGCATCAGGTAGTACATATTAATTATAAGCCTCAGGGTTACATCAAAGGCATCAGGTAGTACATAGTAAGCAGTATTTTTACATCGAAGTCCTCATGTGGTATGTAGTGGTGTTGTTAAATCTTTGAAAAAGGTAATACATAGTTTGCAGTATTGCTCTATCTAAGGGATAAGGAAGTAACAGTATTGTTACATTTAAGATTGTAAGTAAGTAGGACTGTTGCATCCGAGGGATCAGGAAGTACTTTTAGATCCAATGTTTTAGGAAGAACACAGTTAAAGGTACTGTATCAGACAATGCCAAATAAGCGATATGACATCTATGACATCATTTATTATATAGTAAGTATAGTGAGTAGAATTGTTATGTCACAAGCTTCGGATAATATATAGTAAGCAGTAGTTTTACATCTTTGGCATCAAGATATTCTGCAGTACATAGTCAGCAGTATTGTTACATCTAAGGCATCAGGTAGTTTACAGTAAGCAGTAATGTTACATCTTAGGCATATGGTAATATATTTAAAGCAGTATTATTACACTCAAACATCATACAGTACATATAAATTTAAATCAGTGTTGTTAAATCTATGTCCATAGTTAGGGGAACTGTTACATTTAAGACGCAATGTTGTCCATAGTTAGGGGAACTGTTACATCTAAGACATGAGGCTGTGCATGCTAAGTTAAACTACTGAATCTAAGACATGATGTTATGCATAGTAATGTGAACTGTTACCGTGTGCGCAGCATTGTTACATTAAAGCCACAAAACCCATTCGAAATCCAAAGGAAAGCAGATTGCACGGTTCCGACTATATCATGAGCATTTGTTTATGAATCACTGTCATATTGTGATGACGCCTGGTGTTCTCGAAAAGGTGAGCGTATCCTGCCCCAAAGGTTGCATCCGTCACAAACACAAGTCAATTTTTCACTTGAAAAAACACGGGCACATATGGTACAAGTTAAAATAAAGAATTGCATCAGACATCATATTTTGTCACTGATGCGTCAAATTTGGAAATGTCCTCCACATGTCAACCATATCAACATTTATACCATGAAAGGCACAAGGTAGTATATACTAGGACACTGTTGAATGAAAGGCGTTAGGTCGTACATAATAAGCAATATTGCAATATCTATGGCATCATGTATTATAATAGTAAACCGTTTGCGGTATTTTTTCATCGAAGGGTCGAAGTTATGAGGTATAACATAATAAGCAGAATTGTTACAACTCAGCATCATGTAGTATATAGTAAGCAGTATCATTACATATAAGTAATAGGTGGTATGTAGTAAGCAGCACTGTTACGTCGCAAGCATCATGTTTTATATGGTAAGCAGTTTTGTTTCATAGAAATAAAATCAGGTATTACGTTATAAGCAGTATTGTTACATTTAAGGATCAGTAAGCAGCATCGTTATATAGAAGGCATCATGTATTACATAATAAGGAGTCTTGTTACATAGATCTGAGACATCAGGGCACACGCATCAATCTGCATTGTAACATCAAAGGCCCAAGGGTGTAAATAGTAAGTGGTAGTATTATCTAGAAGGCACCAGGTAGTACACAGTAAGCAGTATTGTTACCTCTGAGGCATCAGGTAGTATATAACTAGTGGTAGTATTATATAGAACGCACCAGGTAGTACACAGTAAGCAGTATTGTTACCTCTGAGGCATCAGGTAGTATGTAACTAATGGTAGTATTACATAGAAGGCACCAGGTAGTACACAGTAAGCAGTATTGTTACCTCTGAAGCATCAGGTAGTGTATAACTAGGGGTAGTATTATATAGAAAGCACCAGGTAGCACACATGTAAGCAGTTTTGTTACCTCTGAGGCATCAGGTAGTATATAACTAGTGGTAGCATAACATAGAAGGCATCGGTTACTACATAGCAAGCAGCATTGTTACATCTAGGCATCTGGTAGTATATTACTAATGGTAGTATTACATAGAAGGCACCAGGTAGTACACAGTAAGCAGTATTGTTACCTCTGAGGCATCAGGTAGTATATAACTAGTGGTAGTATTACATAGAAGGCATCGGTTACTACATAGCAAGCAGCATTGTTACATCTAAGGCATCTGGTAGTATATTACTAATGGTAGTATTACATAGAAGGCACCAGGTAGTACACAGTAAGCAGTATTGTTACCTCTGAGGCATCAGGTAGTATATAACTAGTGGTAGTATTACATAGAAGTCACCAGGTAGTACACAGTAAGCAGTATTGTTACCTCTGAGGCATCAGGTACTATATAACTAGTGGTAGTATTACATAGAAGGCACCAGGTAGTACACAGTAAGCAGTATTGTTACCTCTGAGGCATCATAACTAGTGGTAGTATTACATAGAAGGCACCAGGTAGTACACAGTTAGCAGTATTGTTACCTCTGAGGCATCGGGTAGTATATAACTAGTGGTTATATTACATAGAAGGCACCAGGTAGTACACAGTAAGCAGTATTGTTACCTCTGAGGCATCAGGTAGTATATGACTAGGGGTAGTATTACATAGAAGGCACCAGGTAGCATACAGTAAGCAGTATTGTTACCTCTGAGGCATCAGGTAGTATATAACTAGTGGTAGCATTACATAGAAGGCCTCGGTTACTACATAGCAAGCAGCATTGTTACATCTAAGGCATCTGGTAGTATATTACTAATGGTAGTATTACATAGAAGGCACCAGGTAGTACACAGTAAGCAGTATTGTTACCTCTGAGGCATCAGGTAGTATATAACTAGTGGTAGTATTACATAGAAGGCATCGGTTACTACATAGCAAGCAGAATTGTTACATCTAAGGCATCAGGTAGTATATTACTAATGGTAGTATTACATAGAAGTCACCAGGTAGTACACAGTAAGCAGTATTGTTACCTCTGAGGCATCAGGTAGTATATAACTAGTGGTAGTATTACATAGAAGGCACTAGGTACTACACAGTAAGCAGTATTGTTACCTCTGAGGCATCATAACTAGTGGGAGTATTACATAGAAGGCACCGGGTAGTACACAGTAAGCAGTATTGTTACCTCTGAGGCATCAGGTAGTATATAACTAGTGGTAGTACTACATAGAAGGCACCAGGTAGTACACAGTAAGCAGTATTGTTACCTCTGAGGCATCAGGTAGTATATAACTAGTGGTAGCATTACATAGAAGGCATCGGTTACTACATAGCAAGCAGCATTGTTACCTCTAAGGCATCAGGTAGTATATAACTAGTGGTAGTATTACATAGAAGGCACCAGGTAGTACACAGTAAGCAGTATTGTTACCTCTGAGGCATCAGGTAGTATATAACTAGTGGGAGTATTACATAGAAGGCACCAGGTAGTACACAGTAAGCAGTATTGTTACCTCTGAGGCATCAGATAGTATATAACTAGTGGTAGTATTACATAGAAGGCACCAGGTAGTACACAAGTAAGCAGTATTGTTACCTCTGAAGCATCAGATAGTATGTAACTAATGGTAGTATTACATAGAAGGCACCAGGTAGTACACAGTAAGCAGTATTGTTACCTCTGAGGCATCAGATAGTATATAACTAGTGGTAATATTACATAGAAGGCACCAGGTAGTACACATGTAAGCAGTATTGTTACCTCTGAGGCATCAGATAGTATATAACTAGGGGTAGTATTACATAGAAGGCGACAGGTAGTACACAGTAAGCAGTATTGTTACCTCTGAGGCATCAGGTAGTATATAACTAGTGGGAGTATTACATAGAAGGCACCAGGTAGTACACAGAAAGCAGTATTGTTACCTCTGAAGCATCAGATAGTATATAACTAGTGGTAGTATTACATAGAAGGCACCAGGTAGTACACAGTAAGCAGTATTGTTACCTCTGAGGCATCAGGTAGTATATAACTAGTGGTAGTATTACATAGAAGGCACCAGGTAGTACACAGTAAGCAGTATTGTTACCTCTGAGGCATCAGGTACTATATAACTAGTGGTAGTATTACATAGAAGGCACCAGGTAGTACACAGTAAGCAGTATTGTTACCTCTGAGGCATCAGGTAGTATATAACTAGTGGGAGTATTACATAGAAGGCACCAGGTAGTACACAGTAAGCAGTATTGTTACCTCTGAGGCATCAGATAGTATATATCTAGTGGTAGTATTACATAGAAGGCACCAGGTTGTACACAGTAAGCAGTATTGTTACCTCTGAGGCATCAGGTAGTATATAACTAGTGGTAGCATTACATAGAAGGCACCAGGTTGTACACTGTAAGCAGTATTGTTACCTCTGAGGCATCAGATAGTATGTAACTAATGGTAGTATTACATAGAAGGCACCAGGTAGTACACATGTAAGCAGTATTGTTACCTCTGAGGCATCGGGTAGTATATAACTAGTGGTAGTATTACATAGAAGGCACCAGGTAGTACACAGTAAGCAGTATTGTTACCTGTAAAGCATCAGGTAGTAGATAACTAATGGTAGTATTACATAGAAGGCACCAGGTAGTACACAGTAAGCAGTATTGTTACCTGTAAAGCATCAGGTAGTAGATAACTAATGGTAGTATTACATAGAAGGCACCAGGTAGTACACAGTAAGCAGTATTGTTACCTCTGAGGCATCAGGTAGTATATAACTAATGGTAGTATTACATAGAGGGCATCAGTTGCTACATAGCAAGCAGCATTGGTACATCTAAGGCATCAGGTAGTACATTGTATGCAGGAACGTCATATCAAATGTATCGCATAAGGCAGCAACGTAACCAGTATTGTTGCATCAAAGATACCAAGATGTACACATTAAGCACCACTGTTGCACATTGATCCATCTATTGACCCGGAGTAATACTGTGAGTCCTTTTAAGACACTATTAACATGTCTGAGCACTGGCTAGTACACTGAAAGCAGTATACATGTAGTTGGTTCTGAGGCGATATGTGGTACATAGTGTGCAGCACTGTTCCATCTAATAGATCATGTATTCCCCAGCAGCATTATTGATGTATCAGGTAGTTAATGTAGCATACTGCGATCTGCATTGTTGCATCTATGACGTTTGGTAGTTCATAGTAAGCAGTGATGTTGGATCAAATACACCAGGCACTACATTATAGGCATTACTGTTGGATCAAAGTCACCACGTAATACATAGTTTGGATCAAAGTCACCAAGTAGTACATAGTGTTGCATCAAAGTCACCAAGTAGTACATACTTTAGATCAAAATCACCAAGTAGTACATAGTGTTGGATCAAAGTCACCAAGTAGTACATTGTTTGGATCAAAGTCACCAAGTAGTACATAATGTTGGATCAAAGTCACCAAGTAGTACATAGTGTTGCATCAAAGTCACCAAGTAATACATAGTGTTGGATCAAAGTCATCACGTAGTACATAGTGTTGAATCAAAGTCACCAAGTAGTACATTGTTTGGGTCAAAGTCACCAAGTAGTACATAGTGTTGGATCAAAGTCATCACGTAGTACATAGTGTTAGATCAAAGTCACCAAGTAGTACATTGTTTGGGTCAAAGTCACCAAGTTGTACATAGTTTTGGATCAAAGTCACCACGTAATACATAGTGTTGGATCAAAGTCACCAAGTAGTACATAGTGTTGGATCAAAGTCACCAAGTAGTAAATAGTTTGGATCAAAGGCATCAGGTACATCATGTAACACGCAGTGAAGAGAACTTGCTGATTCGAGGCATCAAATTAAGAGCTTCATTCAAAAGCTGTTGATAATATCCGCAGAAAGGTGATTACCAGATAGAACAAGGATAAGTACTCGTCTGGAATAAGCACCCGTCTCTGGGCTGTTGTTTGCTTCCCTTGGCTGTTATGATGTTGTCGCTAAGCCTTGACAAATGTAAAGATTATCTACGCCTGTTAGTATTTACTGCATATTAAAAAAGCGGGATTTATCTTTTCATGACGACAAACAAAACTGGGTGTGACTTATGTTCTGGTTTTGTTGCGCTCAGGAAACTAAGGTTAAAGTTTTGAATAATGCGGACCGGAAGCCACTTTTATCCGCCATTTGCCTCTCAGTGGTTGTATTACTATCTGTGCCGAGTTTGCCCACAACTCTGTTAAACCCTACTCGTTGGACAGACGAGTCGTAATCGAAAAAACACTGTAAATGTTGATTTTAACATGAAAAAAGTCAAATCACCAACACACGCAGGAAATAAAAACACAACGAATTGGAAGGTCATCGCCACACCTAAAGATTAATCATCCACCCACGTGTATACCTGTGCATGATTGATCGGATCACTGGTAGGTGGGACAAGCACAGTAATAGTGTCCCGCATATTAACTTCAGACATGCATTTGGCTGACTGTGAGATAAACGTTATTAAGGTAGTAGACAAACCAAGGTCTTGCAGTTTTACTGATAAGAGTGATTTATGATGTGTGTTTACTTAACGGATAAGGATATTGAGTGTTTGCTCTTGGTGACTCGTCGGGTAGGCGTTATCAGGTGATTTGTAATAGGGGTAGGGAAGGGCGTGAATGTGGTGTACCGGGTATGAGGTTCCCCCTTTGCGACAATGGGTCCGTCCCAAACAGCGATCGATACACCACGACTAGCGTCACTCCCAAGGTTACCATGCGCCTGGTGTCGCTGTAGAAACGTTTCGTAAAAAATGGGTTCAGCTCTTCGTCCAGGGCTGAGCGATATATCGTAAACATTTCAGATTGCCTACAGCTATCAATACGAAGTTCCACTTTTCGGTATTAATGCTGAAACACTTTATGGAAACGCAATGTCCATTCCACAAGTTTGAAAGGAATTTAAAAGAAAGTTATATTCCTATTTTCAGTGGCAAAATTATAGTGAATTTATTGTCTTCGAGTTTGTTTTTATTACATGTCCATGTTCGGAGCCCAAAATTGATCGATATGTTGTCAATACCATATGAAAAGGCTGTAGGGATTTAAACATTTTGCATCATACTATTTGGTCAAATTGTTTACTCAAGGTTAGTACGCAGCGTTTAACCATATTGCAGCAATATCACGGAGGTAGTTACTCGAACGCTGTTTTTGCGTCGTTTAATCAATATTTATAAACTACCTATCGTATCACCTACATGCTTTTTATTATTGTATGTAAGTACTCATTAAGAAACGTATATTCCTCTACGTGATTCGAGTTCGCATCGCTGTTACAAGAAAACCAAAAGGGACAAATTCAAGAGCATATTGTATCAAAACACTTTGAAGCATTGTGAAGACATCGTTTCCAATGCATATACTGCCTTACCAATACGATTCAGGACTGTGAAAAGGAGGATTTCTCTCATTATCATGTGATACACAGTACATTATCCAGAGGCACATCCTGTCTTAAAGTCTCTTTTGCTTTTGTTTTGTTTAACGCCACTCTCACTATTCCAGCTCATAGTATAAGACGGCTAACTGTGACTAATGGCGGGTTATGGTGCCACACAATCAACCAAGTCACTGAGCCTGACTACCGATCCATTTCGTTGGCTCTTACCACTAACATAGGTCCTGCATTAAAAAGTGGTATACAGGACTGTGTAGACGAAGACGTCTCCAGTTATTAGTATATAATACTCCAGACATTATTCAACTGTAAACAGGTCGAGTAGCCTTGTTGTCTGTAATTGGATTAATTGTTTCCAGAAACAGCTCCAGAAATAAAGATGCCTGATGTGCGTCGGATGGAATACATTTCCAATCAACAGGTCCTTTTGATGTGTAATGCCGAAGGTGTACCAGTCCCTAGGTAAGTACGACTTTTGTCACAAATCGTTATTTCAAAGTATTTCATACAAAGGGGAACACTAACTGACCTTTCGGTCGATGTTATTTGAAGGTTGAATTATGTATTTTATTTTAGTAAAAGATGTCACCATCTTCACTTTTTTTTCGTTAGTTCGCAATGTAATAAAAACATTATTTCACAATATTTCAGCATACATGTCTTTTTTCAATTCATCAGACAGTATGTCTAAAATCTACAATTATTACATAAACAGTTATAAGTCGGAAAATGAGTCCAAAAGTTTGATGCCAAATAATGATGTAATAAATATGAATTGAAGCTTGTGAATTATATTTGTGTGTTCCTAAGATACTGTAGTTTTAAAATATAATGAAAAGTCAAAATATGATATTTCACCCATAAAGTCCCATATCTCATGGTTGGTCACAATTATGAATAAGAGTAAAGACACGAGTGGGTAGGGAATAAGGCGCGTTTAGCATGAGAAATGGGTTTCACTTATTATAAATGTGTAATCGGACCCGGGCATTTTTGTTATGACGGGCGATTGCTTCTTCGAGTAGGCTACTCTTATGCCCCTTAAAAAGCATATCGGCTGTAAGGCAACTTCATGGTGTTATTTAGACAAATGAAAGTCCACGTTATGAAAGTTATCTTATTGTTGGTATCAATACTGCTGTTCGATTCCTTGAAACAAGCTCTTTTGATTCTTTAAAGATCTTCTTTGAAACTGTGTCCTGCTTGAAGAACAACTGAACCGTTGAAGTAGTTGTAGAATGAGAGTTCTAGAGGCAACCTACATGTGTGTGGGTAAATGAGCATCGCAAGGCGAGCCTTTCTAAGCTGAAGGTGCCTTCAATGAAATTCGAAGATGGGGGATATACCACATTCCTTAATGTACCTTGTACAGAATGATTGTCTGTATTGATACAGTCAGTTGGTCAAATATCCTGTGCAATATCTGCTAACAATGACTTGTAGAAGAGCCTGACTACATAACAAACATAGGTTTCTGAGGTTCTATTTAGGAACCTCAGCGGCGTTAACAGTGTAATAAGTCATTAAAGAGTTTGAGACCACAAGAATCAAAAGTTTCCACTTGTGTCTTTTTGTCTGATTGCAGGTACAAATGGTACAAAGACGGGGCCTTAATTGTCTCCGATTCTATCACACAAGTAGATCCAGTCACTGGCAACTTGTCCATACCCAGCTTCACAATAAGGGAGGAAGGATTATACCAGTGCGGGGCGGAGAACACCGTTAGTCCAGGGGTGACTCCATTAGCCCAATCCCCCGCCATTAACGTCAGAGAAGTTTGTGAGTAGATATATCTATGCACTGCTGCAATATACAGTCAAACCGATTTAGTCTGGACCCCGCTAATCCGGAAACCCCTTCCTTCGGGACGAGCACTGTTGGATAGTCCTTCATGCATACAAAGTGACATAAATGCGTACTGATGATTCGTCATATCGGAAAATGTGCTAATGCGAACACTAGCATTCCGGATTAACGGGGGTTCGCTCTATGCTGTAATGTTTTTGACATGAATATACATCCGTTCACAGATTAATGATTTAACAATGTCGTATATGTTCATAATCTGTTATAAATCTGAAATAAAGACCACATATTCGTATATTTCGATTAATACAATGATGTGAAGACCCGTAGCAACATGCCAATTTCAACGCGTACACACATCCTTTGGGATTAAGGGCCAGGTCCCCAGTGCCCCATGCCGACTAAAACGGGGATCGGGTGGCCGAACAGAACTTACAGTCAAGGCTATTACAAATAACATCCTGAGTTTACGATCCTTGCTTTGTCATAGTGAAATAGGTGAGCGTATCCTGCCCCAGTGTCAAAAAACACATGTAACATGAACATATGATACAACTCAAAATAGTGAGTGAGTGAGTTGGGTTTAACGCCGCTTTTAACAGTATTCCAGTTATATCGCGGCGTGTCAACTTACTGTGGGAGGAAAGTCCGAAGTGATGCAGGTCTCCAACTCAAAATAAGGAATTAATCGGATATAATTTTGGACACTGATTCTACCAATTTGTGATGTCCTCCCATTTGTGAGGCCCTGAATGTCGTAATCCTGATCAAACAACCTTTCGTCGTATGACGCTCTTTAAAATCTTAATTGAAAGATTATACCTCTAAAGTTGTGAAATATTGACCCCAAAGGCTGGAGCTGCTAGAATATTGCTCGACAAAAGGAATGTTAACTTAATTCATTCATTCAGGCATGTGGATATGTTTTTGTCATTCTGAAGCTCTAAACATAGATGCAAATATGAAACAGATGAGGCGATTTCACTGGTCTCCTGAATTTCTAGTTCAGGCCGGTAGGGAATTACCGCTTTGATAATTATAGTAATATTTAGTTTCACGTCTTGGCCAAATTCCTTTGTATTGGTTTTGCCAACCCGAGCAGACACTCCGATTCATATGCATGTTCTTTCTGTCCATAATGTTCACACTGACAAGGTGTAATATTTACTCAATGGCAGATTATTGAACTGAATATCAATCGATTTATGATCATAGTTATAATGATATGGACTCGATGGTTAATGTTGTACACAACAGACCTTTTGTCAAACAAGCACAGCACAAGCAGTTTGGTGTCAATATGAAAGTTTTATCTCACTTTTCCCATTTCAAACAGTTCAAACATTTTGATGAAGAATTAACGTAATCCAACTTTTCACCAAAGGTGAATAAAGATGCAGACACAATTAGAATGTAGAAAGTTGAATTTAAATAAGAAAGTCTGTCAGAACAGTGTTCAAGTACATGACTGCTTAATCGCCAAAGAAAAAGAGCGGAGTTATGCTGTAAGTTCATCTGAGAAATTGTGATTATCAGCCGATCTTGTTTCCGTATCACACGAGGATTATAATCTCTTTATCGTATTATGTGTGTCTTAAAATAAGCAATGTTTGAGGAGGTAACCTTAAAACTGCGTATGAATACAATGTTTGAGTGTATCGCTTCATTTATCATATACACGTAGTGTCAGCTGATTTGCAGCCATGTTTGTCTGCAGAAACACCAAGACATCGGGAAACACCTTTCACACGTAGTGGAAATGTCAAATATAACTTTTGTTTTATCACGTAGACATTACATCGATGTAACGTAACTCATTTGCATATTTATATACCAACCCTTCAAAACCCACCAAGAGAGCATTGATAATAACGGGGTATACGCTATGTCCCAACATACACGACCTTTAACGTGTGTATTTACAGCACTCGGTGCAAACTGGCCTGTGATCCCTGTTGAAGACATCAACAAATTCGAAGGAGCATACGCCAACCTGCTATGTACAGACGTACCAGAAAGTGTCCCGAAAGCTCAATTCAGCTGGTTTTTAGAATCACCCGACGGGGCAAAGAAACAAGTGGAGGAAACCGACAGAATCCACGTTGACGATCAAGGTTGGTGTTCAAAATTAATGTTTAATAGACAAGACTAAAAGACAAAGATGGCAAAACAGTGAGACTTTTGACACAACAATCTTTGTCCTACGACACAATTGGTGTAAAACCCTTACAATATGTATTTGTTAAGTTTCCTGTTTGACCTGACTCGCCATTCATTAATTGTTTATGAAACGGCTTTGGAACAGATTCCAACTTTTTCAATTCGTTGTTCGTCAGAATTGCAGGGACAACCGTGGTGACAATAATCGGTCACGTTGTACACCTAAAGCAACGTTTTTCTAGATATGTAACCCACTAAAAATGAAACTAAATAAACTCCTCCCTATTACCCAGTCATTTTATAATGAAACAAGAATTTTGCTTTAACTGGGAATATGTTTATATCTTTGGATATGAATAAATGTTATTACGACATTCATATATACTAGAACCATACATTTCAACCTTAAAAGTCTACCGAATGACATTTTATCCTACCTCTCTACTTGAATAGTTGTTAGTATATGCATACGCAATGCATTCCATCTCTAATAGTCTACTGGATGATATTGCATGATTTGTATTTAATACAATTTTTTTCACAGGAACGCTGCATTTTATCTACTTGGAGACAATTGACCAGACTGGCGCCGATCTGTACAAGTGTGCCATCTATAACAATATCCTAAACACTATTCAGCTAGGCAGTCCAAAGAGTCTGACAGTTACTCCGGTTGCCAGTGAGTATCGATTGCTTTGTATCAGATGTGACGTTGTATTTAACAAATTAATATTGTTCATGTATTTAACAACTTTAACCATCTAGCGTGTATATCACTATCACTTTCTTTAGATTTAACCCTTCTTCTCTCAAGTTATCTCCCCTTGCTTATATTAGCACGTACCTGTCTGTCCTACTGACACGAGCGATAATGTAGTGGCACGAATTGTTAAATGTGTTGTTTTGCTCGTAGTGAAAACATGAAGAGTGAACATGGAACAAACCTTCAGATTCTTAGCTGAATTCAATATTCAATTATGTATGAAGTACAGAAATGTCACATAGTATGCAAAACTCACATACGCTGTTGTCCATATATGGAAACGAAATTGACATCAACAGGTGAATTAAAGAAGACATCAAAATGTCAAGACGATGGCCATGGAAAATACCAAACCTTGACATTAAAATATTCATGACATCCACCAGGACAGCGTATTTAGCTATCCAAGATATCTTTAGTTTATTCATATAAAGAGGTATGATTGACTTGGCAGTTGTCTCCCTTTCCACATTGAAACGTCAAATAGGAAGGATTATGTCGATGTGACAATGGCTTGTCCAGAGGGTGTTATTTCTAGCATACAACGTCCTCCGCAGGTCATTGCTTCTTGGTGTCCTGCAACTACTATTTCTGGCACACATACACATATGCCTATTCAGTCTACTCAGCGTCTAGTAATGTACGTACATATGCTGTATGTTAAGGAGGCCGTATTGTAATGGTTGCCTTTAAATTCGTGTCTACACTGTAATCGATATATCTTTAAAAATGATTTATTGTTTTAAAAGATATAAAACCGATATACATCCTATCTTATTTCTTATAGGAATTTGTGGTATTTCACAATAAGGTATATTTTGATGCTATCATCTGCGAAAGAGACTGACATTATTTTTTTCCTTAAGCTCATTTTCAGCGTGGCTCAGTATTTCTCTGTATTTACAAATCGATCTATAAGTCTTTAATGATATATATATATATATATATATATATATATATATATATGGGGCAAGCAATGTTCTCATACACTTTACATTGTTTACTTGTCTACTATTCCCAGGAATGAATGTCCTTAGACAATGAACTGGATTTTCGTGTCTTGAGCCATAAATACGAGGATAAAATGTCCCAGGGCAATTTACACTGTCTTCTTCGTCGAGAGCTACTTATCCTGGCATACCATTGTAGCATAGAATACAATGTACACTGTTTTATTCCAGGACAGACTGTCCTATGACTTAATACAGTGTCCGTCGGAAATTGAGAGCGTCGAACTATGAGATGATGGACACCAGCATACACGGCTCGCAATTATACCCAATCTAGTAAACCAGCCAACTAGTAAACTAGTCATAACTCAATAGATATTTTCATTGACGTATTACTTTGCATTTTGTTTCAGGTAAACCGCAGGTAAAACCTAAGGCCGAGTATACAACTAACCCTGCAATATTCTTACGGACCCAGACGGCAGAGCTGGAGTGTGTGTTCAGTGGATAGTGAGTGCAGTTCGTTCATGATAGATTTGATATATTTCCGCAAGTACATGTTCAACGTTGACATGTCATTTGAGTAAATATACACCTGTTTGCCATATAACTCCGTTAATTATAACAACAATATATAGTTCTTACATTGGTACAGCAGCGTAGTTTTAAAACTATTTTGTATAGTCATCTTAAGCCTTCACAAACCTTGATTAAAGATGAATACTGATTTTAATACCATTGCACTAAAGCTTTTGGTACATGTGTTCTTAGTCCTCTACCAACAATCACGTGGCGCAAGGGGGGTAATACCATCACAGCAAGTGAGAAATATCAGTTCGACAAGATCAACAGGAAACTGAAGGTATTGAACCTGGTGGAGGAAGACGAGGGAATTTACACCTGCTTCGGGCAGAACTCCGTCAGCACAGTCCAGATTCCAATCTTTCTCGATGTCACGTGTAAGTTATTCTGTATTGTTATGATGGGTCACGGTTCGTCTAACTCGTTGTGAAGAGTTACAAACCTTGGCCGCCCAGATATCTTGTTCTCCCGGTATTGATCTTTGATCTGTCAGTACGATATCCTTCCTCGTTTTTTCATCAAAGAGGTAAAATGTTTACAACCGGCGTAACGATGAGATTCCTTCCTATTAAGATGAAAGGCCGTGATATTTGAATGCAATACTGTTCAGAGCGGTGTTAAACCTAACTCGCACATTGTTCTTTTATTACTATGGACCATCACCGGATATTGATCTGAGTTGTGCTCCATGTTGACACATAGATTCGCATGTTTCGATGCACGGTTTTCAATATTCGTTAATTCAGAATTTTGATGAACAAAGATGACATATTGTTTTTTAATTTTTTAACTAATATATCCCCCAAGTTCTAAAGATAATTTGGATAACGTGTGTGACTAAACTGTGAGCTCTATGTTGCAGCTGGTCCTATTTGGGAACAGGCGTTAAGTTACCAGACTATACCAACGGGCAGGGACGCTGTCTTCTACTGCAAGTCCCGGGCAGCTGACGGGGAGGATCCCATTGACACACCCACCTGGTACATTAATGGGAATCTAATTAACATACTAAGTCCTCCAGGTAAGACTGATACTGTCCTTCTGTAATTTAAACGTCGCAATATTGATCCACAAATCTTGAACGTGACATAAAATCCCAGTTCACCCTACCTTCCATGTAATTCAGGTGCATGTAGACATGCGAGAAGTGGAGTCTGAGGCGCAATATCTGTGTTGTACACATTTTCTCAAATATCTTTTTTCTCACACTGATATGGCAAAATCCACACATGTATAATTGCATTAATTGCCCTGCATTATGTAGAAGATGCCTTAAAAAGGGCAAAATCAACAGTTGTCGGCTTTGAAAACATCGAGGAAAAACATGAAAGCATGTCATTGAACAACAGCTTCACGAAACGACAAACGAAACCAGATTGTCAGAGATGAATCTTTGTTGTGTTAAAGAAACTCCCCCTTGCAAAATTTAATCATTATTGCGACTTTAACAAATGACTTTCGAAAGAATCCCTCGCAGACATACACATTTGACATACACATGTATGGGTATAATTGTTCTAATACGATTATTTCAAAAACAATTCACATCCCTTTATAGGAAGCGGCAAGTTCCAGTTCAGTGATGGTGGAAGAGTGTTAACGGTCATAGGTCTGCAGAAACCGGACGATACCCAGTGTTTCCAGTGTAACGTCAGCAACAAAATAGACTATGAATTTGCAAATGGTTGCCTCAACGTCATCGGTAAGTGGTTATATTTGTCACCAAACATGGATACAAACGGATGGATACAAAGATAGTTAAATCATCATTCCTGGACAGTAATGTGACAGTTTCATGACGATGTTACTCAAGGAATGGTGTTAATTCGTGCAATGTGTGTTGTATGCATTTCTTGAAATTCGAATGACTAATGTATATTTTTTCCACATGTTAAGTTACTTCATGTTCAGTGTAGATTGGATCTTGTAGCAATATTCAAGCATCATTGCAACCTGGGACCCGAAGAAAGACACATTTTGCATGTTTCTTTCAGAACCAATCGTAATAACCGAACATCCCCCGCCAATTCAAGAAATCGTCAAGGGCGATCGCGTTAACCTGACAGTGAAAGCTACAACTGACCCGGGGATGACCTTGAGAGAAAGATGGCGCTTCAAGAATCAAACCTATGACAATAATGCGCCGCCTCATGTGATCTACAATGATGTCACAAAGGAAGCCTATATCGACACGTCAGGCCTCACCGATGCGGAGTTTGAAGCGATTATTGGCGTGTACTACCGGGACCTGTATCACCAATACGATAGCTACACAGTAACAATTGAAGTCGTACCGAAGGGTAGAGGTTGGTGTTTTCAAATAATATTAATCTAATCAAATGTTTCTTGTGTCAATCCGCACTCCTCGGAATGTAATGCTAAATGTATCCCGCGTACAGTTAAGTGTCGATGCTTCAGTTCATGTCATTTACTACAGTATTTTGAAAGCCAGTGACCTTAAGAAAATTAACCATGTTAAACAATTTGACGGTGACCTCCTTTGCAATTTCGAAATATAAACTCATATCGTCAGCTGCAGCGACTTTGGCCGTGTTTGTCTAGTGTTTAAGTAGACTGTGCTCCGTGATCTGGTAATGATTTAGTGCTGTTTAACCGTCGTAATTAGTCTTTGAAATTGAGAAATGTTGTCTATGTGTTATTGTATGGCTTGATATCATATATTTCTTAAATTCATACATTCATTCATTCATTCATTCATTCATTCATTCATGCTTATGATATGGTCGCAATCGTAAAATGGATTTTGCGCTCAGCAGATATATTTAGGAGATAAACATAGTGTGTTTTCAAAAGATATGACGTCACAGTCGTATATAGAAAAGCGCCAAAATTTCAAGCTCTCTCTTGTCTCCAAAACGTAAATACATTCCCTTTGTTGATTTTTGTAGTTTTTTTCTGCACGAAATGTATTGCCACACATCCTTTGAATATTGTAGTAACAGCATCTGTGCATTTTGTAACCTGTAACTGTAGATATAGTTATTTAAATATGCCTACCGACAATGACAGAAAATAGTACTATTTTATGAATATTAGCTTCCGCGATGATGCGGCCGTCAAACGAGCTGTTTCAATCACAGGAGGTTTATTGTGATTTAATAGCCTCTGATTGACCAATCAGAATCGAGTGAATTCCAAATTCATGGTAGAATTCTCATTATTATTGTCAGATGTTATTTACACATAACTGTGTATTTCTGTTTAAAAATATACCTTCACATAAATAGTGTACTTGTATGAACTATGGAACTATGAACCTTTCAAGGTAGTTTCCCAACGTTACATGTATCCTTGTTGCCAGATGATGCGGTTGCAGCCGCTGGGGACTTCCCGTGGTGGTGGATAGTGGTGGTGATACTCCTCCTCTTGCTCGTCGTCATCATCATCCTCATCTGCTTCTGCTGCAAGCGGAAACAGGATGAAGGGACTTACAAAGGTGAGCTGTTGGATTACATGGAACACTTCAGCATTGGATGATCCAGTATATACTTTGGGAAATTCGATCCTGTCTCTGTTACTAAAGCTAACCTGTACATCCAAATGCAGTTATCTTGTTGATGTTATTTTGCCCTGTTATCATGCCAATAGGCTTTACTGCCCCTGTCATGATGTTCTGAGTAATTACTCATATACCTTCACAATCATAGATAGGAATGTAAGCTAGCAGTCATGCTTTTCAGAAGAATTTAGTTTCTCTCTCCAGGAGATACAAGAACAGGTTGTTACAGTCTCAACTGCTGTTGTATCAGTGTGCTATGATTCTTACTAGATATGTGGGTTTTGACAAATTCTCATTAATAAAGTGAAATTTTGATGTTTGTATAAAAAATGTCCTCCAAATCGTAGATTGCATTCTTTACTGCATCAAATGTAATTCTCATCGTAATGGACCATGCGATTAACGGCTACACTTATCTATTGCTAACTGTTGTTTGCGTTGCGAAGAGAGATACATTAGAAATGCATTTATACTTAGTTAGGTGTACAACTATGAGAAATAGAGTAAAATGTAAAATAAGGAAACTATATGACCAATCATAAATAAATAGCTTTATGAAACTAATCATTAATAGGCAATGTTGATAACGCTTACCAAATACTAATATATACTTACATAATTTGCAGTAGCCAACTGGTATTTTGCATTTAAAAAATGATATATCAGTGTAGCCAAGGAATGTCCAAATAGGTCACTATTAGTTATATCTCATCTGTTATTCGAGGGGCGGTCGGGTAGCCTAGTGGTTAATGTGTTCGCTCGTCACGCCGAAAACCCGGGTTCGATTCCCGACATGGGTACAATGTGTGAAGCCCATTTCTGGTGTCCCCCGCCGTGATATTGCTGGAATATTGCTAAAAGCAGCGTAAAACCATACTCACTCACTCACTCACTGTTATTCGATGAGGGATCCATTGAACTATTTTCCTTGTCACGTCTGGAACTAAGTTCACACCTAATGGAATGTCGTTTCGTATTCGTGCTAGTATTTGACATATTTTATCTTTCAGTCTATGCAAAAGAGGTAAACGCCGTGTACCTTAATCCGGATAAGGATTTGGAAGACCACAAGTTCCACAATGTTGCCAGAATAGAGTAAGTATTTTTATTTGCTATATATGGACGACCTTGACGGAGTAATATGTGGTTTTCGGGCTGACATATATCGATTTACTTTGAAAACGCTTCTTATTTATAAAGGAACTAATGACAGTACCAATGTATCCAAAGAAAAGATCTGTCACACGTGAAAATCAACAATAGATGTGTAAGTATAAAACTATGTCGGCAGATAATTTGAAGACATACTTAACTTGTACAATCAACAGAGACTGGTCCATATTTCATTCACACGTTCCATGTATCACTAAAAGACCACGGAGGTGGTCTAGTTGATGGAGCGTCTGCCCGGAGAGCGGAAGGTGGGTGGTTCTATTCCCGGCCGCGTTATACAAAAAGACGTGAAAAGATCGTTCTTGTCGAAACCCGACCTGACGCTCGGTATTCGGGAGACAAAGCAAGGACTGGTCGGCTCGGGGTCTGTGTACAGTGTCTGAGTAAGGTACCCGTGTTAAGATGCGACATGATATATCAGTGGGCTAGCACTATCAAACCAAAATAAGTCCTTACTAGTACAAGCAGCCACACACAGACACACACGTGCATGTACGTCGCAATGTATGTGCAATAATCTTGAAGGCGATATTAACCCCCATTTCACTTCATCTCTATCCCTTACTGTTGCAGGTCTGAGGAAGATACATCTACGAAGAAGCGACCCGCCCATAACCCTGCTTACGATGTCAATGATGATGAGCCTGACTCGATGGACGAGTACCGAGGTAGAAGAGATCAAAGTGGTAAATATAACGCGGGTTATTTCAGTGGAGACGACCGTTATGCTAATGCTGGACGGTATACACATCAAGAAAGTCAAGCTTAAAGATCAAGAAAATATAGCGTATCAGTATCTACTGGATTCAAAGGTATTCATTACATTCATGTAGCGATGGGTGTAGTGTAATTACATCCCATGTGTCTGCAATGATATTCTTACACCTGACAATGGTACAGAAACACCCTTCGATGCTGGAAACCTTACCTTGGCTCTTTAGTTTTAAAGAAAAGGTCCGCCTTCTTCATAACACCTTGAACCTTATGAGGAGTTACGTATACCAATTCGTGACATAAACGTAGACTAGCTTGCCAATCTAATTGGACTAACATGTTAAAGAGGGCAGCATTAACAAGACGAAATCCGGTGTTTTCAGAGTGTAGGATCTCAACAAACATAATGACAAAGACAGCAGTCAGATGCCTTGACTAAATGATAGGTTGGCAGATTCATCTTGTGTGATTCAAGACTCGATTCGCTTGTGCACTACTGTTATGTTCTTCGTGCGTAATTGCCAAGCCCACTGTTGCAGTGTAAAGTGAAAGTGTATGTAAAACACTTGGCCTACGACGGCGATAAGTAATGTTTCATTGTTGCTTTTGAAAGCAGGACATGCTTACCCTTTAAGCGAACACCTGGTGTCACCGCTGATTTTCAGTGATACATTCATGTAATTTTCACCACTTTTTTGTATTTTACGCCCAATATCGAGGCTGATTATTCTCTGGTAATATATTTTTTTATACATTTATCAACAAATATAGTACCTTTGATCAGGGTTATAAGATAATCCTTTAAAATCTATACCCCATTTAGATCTGTATTTGTATCTTGTTATTGGTGGTCAAGTGTTTGCTTCAAATTTTTGTCTTTGGTCTAAATTTGATTTTACGTGTGAAATGATACTCGAAAGGTGTTATTAGCAACTTACTCATTGTCTAATGAGCTTAACCTCCCCATAGTAGTCATCTTTTATAAATCTATACATTTTAAACTTTTAACATCCCTTCATATTATAGTTCTTATCTAACACAAACGATATTGTCACGTGTAATTTACTACTAATGTGCACCTTGATATTAATCTAATTCACTAACATACAAAATGCAGACTAGATACTCATTTTGTGTTATCAGATTGCTGATCTCAAGAAATCAACAGGCTATGACAATTGTATTGAGGCGTTGGAACGGTGATACAAGCTACAGTATTATCTGTGGATTAAAATACATTTTGGAGTTTATAACTGTCATTCATCGAAACATTCTTGGATCGTTGTATATTATGTCCGTGGATCATTTACCATTAACAGTCATTATGTATATACATAAGCGGAGTTAATTCTGTACTCAATAATATCTTCAAAAGAACACATGTCTCAATATATCTCGTTAACCATATAGCAAACAAATCAGTTCTAACTGCAGTCCTGTACGTACAATGTTCCTTGTGAGTTGTGTATCAAACTGTGTTTGTCTGTTTGTTGACATACGAAATTACATGGGATATGGTATCAATTTACGCTCTGTCCTTGTCTTAGTTCCATATATGAGACACTCAAGATACGTTTGTATTTTTATAAACAAACGTTTGTTAGATAAGGTTCTGTATCTATTACTTGAAGTAATATGTTTGTGTATAGACATACAATGTCGGCGTTTCTATGTATATCGACACATCTAATGGTTAGTAATATCTCAATGTAGTTTTAGGGAACAGAATACCACGACATACCTTGGTGTACAAACCATCGTTCAGAACGTTGGCGGATTGAAGGCTTACTAAATAGGAAGTATACTTCGCATGGTTTTTTTACAATGCTTTTTATAATCAAAGAAAACGCGTTTTGATTAATGTGCACTTTGATAAACCTCTCGAACGAATCATCTATAGCTTTGCTGTTCGCTGCTAACATGGCCTGGCAACTGTCTTACTGCCTGTTTATCTAGAGGGGCCGCTGCTGCCGAGACAACCTGCACAGCTGGACTAGTGGGTACTCATCGGCACGGTCAAAACTAATGCCACTAGTGCAACGGGTGCTTCTTGTAGTTCACCAACTAACAGCAGAAAAATACTACATGGTAGTTCATGTAGTAGAATAAAAGTCAACAACAAGACAATTACAACTTCAAGTTCTACGAGAGCAAGAACTGAAATTAGCTTTACAACAAGAACATTTTCTCGTGCAAAAGAACAACCAACACTTGGACAGACAATGCCCACAATCACTACTCCAACTTCAACTATCTATAGTGGCTCTAGAGCAAACACCACAACGCATCTACAACAAGTACTTCACGGCGTACATCTATTGCAACTACTTCACGGCTTACATCTGCTGCAACTACGTCACGGCGTACATCTACTTCAACTGCTTCCCGGCTTACATCTACTGCAACTACTCCAGAGGTTTACATCTACAGCAACAACTTCACGACTTTTACCAACAGAAACTACTTTATGTCTTACATCTACTGAACTTATCGGTATAGGTGACTGCAACTAGATCGTTTCTACTTTCAACTACTTCACGGCTTACATCTACAGCAACAACTTCACGACTTTTAGCAACATAGACTTCTTTATGCCTTACATCTACTGCGCTTCTCGGTATACGTGACTGCAACTAGATTGTTTCGTACATCTACGGCAACTGCTAAGTTCAGAATATCCACTACAAATACTACGCCCGGTACATCTACTGCAACTACTCTACGGCTTCATCTACTGCAGCTACTTCACGCCGTTAATCTACTGCTACTAGTACGTGCAGTAAATTTAATATCCTACACGTTACAACTGGTGCTGTAATCAACTATGCAAAATATATTTTATGATTGATTGCTTTAACAATTAAAGTTTGTATTATTGTTACATAGATATAGTTATGAATGTTTCTTGGTTACGTGTTTGTATGTATGTATGTATGTTTGTATGTATATAATAAATGTTTGTACACTGCCATCAGGTTAATCGTGTGCCCTCCGTGTATATTTACTGTTATTTATTACATGTTACGATACACGTGCGAAAGGTGTTAACCTCAAGATGACATCGTAGTCTTAATTGTCTGTTTTATATGTTCCATTTTCACCAATCATTGTGCAATGCTTCATAGGTTCAAGTCAGTATTACTCCGCAAGATAGCTTCATTTCTACGACTTGTAAATAATTACTTGTTAGATTGTTCTTATCAACTATACTTCCAAACGTGTTATCCAAATAAATCTGATTTTTAGTTTTTTTATTTGTTTCGTTTAGTTTTGTTTTGAAAAGAGAACCAATACTTTGCTGCCAAGATGGACTCACATGTAGGCATGTTGATACTTGTCCTGACATCAAGGGCTTTCTTGTTTCATTTTTGCTTTTCTTATTTTTTCGTTTCGTCTCTTTGCACATATTCGGAAAGCGTTTTACTTGTTCAGACTATTTCTATTACGAAGACCACACGACTTATGCAAACATTATATTTATCAATAATAGAATATAATCAAGTAATACCATCCCAAACTATTAGCGTGGGCAACGTCCCCTGGTGGGACCTCTGTACACGTGTTTGACGAATCAGTGATGTCATTATTTTGACTACGGTTCGGAAGTGCTAGCTTCAGAAGTGCTTCTGTTTCGTTGTGTTTCCTTCCTTGTGCCAGACGAGCGAATATGGACGAGCGAGTGAATTTGGTTAACACCACATTTAGCATTGTACCCATGTGGGGAATCAAACCCCGACCTTCGGCGTGACTAACGAATGAATTAACCATTGACGAGTGAGCGAGTTGGGTTACACGCCGCTTTTAAAAGTATTCTAGTTATATCGCGGCGTGTCAGTTTAATGTGGGGGGAAAGCCCGAAGTGATGCAGGTCTTAGACGTTTACCACTTCGGTGAAACCCACGAGCACAAGTATGGTGCTGACAAACCTAGAAACATAATCGGGTCGAACCTGGATTCGAACTCACAATCATAGGTTTCTGGCGTACCCAAGGGACGCAACTCTGCACAGCGAATCGCGGCGCCTTGGACGACTTGGCCACCCGTGCCCCCTAACCAAGCTTTAACCACTACTATTTCCCCATCGTCGCCATAAATGTTATCACAAGAAGGATGAGTCATAGGTGCGATCTGTGCTACATCCAGGCCTGTGTGTGGGTTATTGAATGAGTGAGTAGGTTTGGTTTAACGCCGCAATGATGAGTAGTTTATCTATGTCACGACGTGTCAGCTTGATGTGAGGAAAGACCAACCTGACGCAGGTCTTAGACATTCACCACTTTGATGATACTTTGGTGCTTGGGTATGGTGCCTCTAAACCTACAAACATAATCAGGGCCAACTGGGATTCAAACCAACGATTATCGGTTGCTGGAAAGCATACGGGACGCACTGGCGATGCCCAGGACGCCCCACCTCCACCCTATTTGACAATAGGGTGGGGCGCATCATAGATATACTTGTATTATACCTGTCCCAGCACACTTATGTGTTCATTCTCCATGCAACAAGAAATGCCACCCGTTGTTCAAATTAAACACTTGAAATGTAGAATTGTAACAGGCCTGTACTTCGTGAACATTCTAGGCAATATACCATCAACTAATGAGTAAATTTGGTGAGTGAGTCTTGGTTTCTTTTCGCCACTGCCAGTTTTCCAAACAGCCAGGCCACACACTGTAACCACCCATACCTAAGTTTATAGTCGACTCTATGTATGTCTCCACAGAGGTAGCAATAGAAGCACCCCTCTGCTTCCCCCACCCCTCCATCAAAAATCATAGCAATCTGTATATTTATTAGTGCAAGATCTTACATCATGCAATACAAGTGACAGTTTGGGAAAAGTATATCCGCCTGAGATAAACAAAATCAGTAATGCAACAAGGAATGAAAGAGGCCAAGTTAACAAGTGACTACATTCCAAGGCCTGGCGCCTATTTCCAGTGTAGGTCCAATCATAGATTTAACGCCTTGTACGAAATGGAAACGTTGTGATATTGTTAAATGCCCTAATTTGTATACGCAACAAAATAGCAGCAGGCACACAAAGTGGGATGCAACTTGGCTCGAGGCCACTCCCTGTTAAAGAGTGAAACGAAAAGTCCAGGTGTTGCCACGTCAGTGTGATGACAATGCATGTCCCTGAAATCAGCTGCATGGACAATCAGTTTAATTGTTCAAATAGTTTAATTGCCCATGCAGACAGCTGTGTGTCAACATATTCATACCAATCATACTGACTTGGCAACAGCAGGTCTTCCTTTATATGTTAGAACGCAGTACGCTAGAACAGCGAACAGGGTGGACATCACCAAGAGTCCTACGTTCGTTCCCGCCATCTTCATCCTCCATTCAACAATGTCGTATAGTGCGCATGCCCCACGTTTACCGCACAAGTTCCTCCAGACAATACAAGTGGTGTCGATGATCTTCCCATACAGTACAGGTCCCGGTATGTAGGCTGCAAACATAAACAAATGTTTAAGATAACTCGCTAGGTAGTGCAGTCGTGAATGTGGTGTAAGGCTGCGGATTCCGCACTGTCCAGTTGCTGCCCATTAGAAGTGTTAGGATCGGCTTTTTGAGATTCAAATGCGTTGTGATCCATGGTCTGTCAGCTCAATATCCGATATATCGTGCATTTACGGAATGAGTAACTTTTGGCCCTCATTCGATATTAAGGTGACAAGCTGTGCTACAGCTGAAATACTTCCTAAAGGTTAAACGCGACAGAGCTATACTCTTGTATTGTTTTGTAGAGAAATAGAAAATAGAATAGAAAATCAAGCTACAAAGAAAGACACATACCAAGGTTGGTTGATTGTTTAGTTGTTTTACGCCGCACTCAGCAACATTCCAGCAAATAATCGGGTCTGGACCAGACAATCCAGTGATTAATATCATGAGCTTCAATACACGCAGTTTTGATCGATGATATGCTTTAACCAAGTCAGCGAGCCTGACCACCTGATCCGTTAGTCGCCTCTTACGACAAGCACAGTCGCGTTTTACGACAAGCATGGGTAACTGAAGGCACTTTCTACCCCGGATATTCACGGGGCCACATACCAAGCAGAGATATCGCCAGTCCATAGATACTTGCTGCCATCGTCCTATCGCGTTCAGAGACGCTTCTGCAAAACAATCATAATCATAACAATAAATAGATGAGACAAAGGACAAAATAAATACAAGACATAACAAAGAAATACATTATCATTATCGTATGAAGGACTGGCAAAAACACTAAAATAATTCTGGTCATTTAAAATCATCTCTCCACAGCACACCTGACCAGGAAGGGTTCTGTTTGAAATATCTTGATTTCATATAATTTACTTACAATACGACTAGTGTATTGAAAGGACACGCGATAACGTCGTTAGGTTACATAGTGTCCTGATACCTACATACATTGGAATAAGGTATGTGATTGTACCTGATGAGGACCAGATAGCTGGGCACAATGGAGAAAGAGCCGACCACGGCATAAACAACTGTGAGCGCCATGAACGGGTAGAGTTTGAAGCAGTCCGTGTCACACATTCCCAACACTACTGCCCCACCTTCCACACCAGCACAGCCTCCATAGGACTGAAACAACAATAGCAACACTATGTGTAGATGCAAGAACACAAAAACTCTGAAACGCTCGCATCACAGGGAATTTATTGTCAGTGTCATATCTTTAAACGTTTCACACTGAAACACTGGGCTGGCAGTAGGGTAAACAGCCGTATACGAACACCAGCCTTAAAGTAGGGCATTGCAGCTTCAAAATACCATGTACACTAGGCTGACAGTAGGATAATGCAGCTTTGTACCAACGCAAGCCTTAAAGTAGGGCATTACTATAAAGGTAAGCTATTTTTCAGAGCATTATCATTTGCAGAAATCAAAGGTCTTCAATTAACTGCCGAAGGAGGGTAGTTGAAACGGCCGAGGACTTCTGCAAATGATATTGCCCTGAAAAATAGCATTACCGCCATTACAGCTAAAATGGATAGAATTTGTTATCAAATAAAAATATACAGCAATAACGGTTTTGAAATATTTACTGCAATCAACACTTGGATCTACAGTTTTCCCGAGAACTACTCACAATGCCAGTTGAATTCTGGCATCCGGGGTGGCACGGGGAGAAAAATGTGACATCATTGCCGCAAACCGGAAGAAAGTCGGTACCATCACACTGGCAAGCAATTGTGTTCAGTGTGCCATTTAATCTAGAGACCAGTTGACAATCATTATTTCGCTGGACGGTTATAAACCTTTCATGAACAAAATACAAATCCCTTAACACACATAAAATAGGTTTTACCAGGTTCTCCCTCGTTTTATGTTCATTGCAGCTTCACAACGATGATTGAAAGGCGTGTTTACCGCCGTGTATATTATCACTGCTTGTCGGCTTCGTGTGTAAGTAAAGCCTGAAGTCGTGCTGGTCGTACAAGTTTATGATTGTGAAGAAATCCAGGAATATTACGGGTGCGAAGGTAGGATTTAAACCCCGATTATCTGTTTCTGGTACGACTAAGGCGCACCTCTGCACAGCGAATTGCGGGGCCTCTAACCACTGTGCCACTCGTGCCCCCTTCAGCTGTGTTTTTTCAGATCGATATGCAAGAATTTATTCCTGATCTGTGCGTGCTATCAAAGATTAAAACCTAACGTTACTCTGCAAACATACTTACTGCAGGTTAAGCCCAGCTATGCGTGTGTTTGGACAACCCATTGTCATATTTATGCCTTCTGAAACTGTGGACAGCACCATGGCTCCAGTTGCAAATAAAAGACACCCCCTGCGTCCCATCTTAAAATGAGATACCACAGCCCCGCCGAGAAAGCACCCCACTCCACTCAGTAGCATCACTCCAATACCTGGCAATGCGAATATCCTTAATTATATAAAAATAAAGGGTACAAAAATCGCTCGAGCCGCTCAAATCGGAAGTACAGTAGAACACGGATATAACGAATTACAAGGGACCAGAGAAATCAGTTCGCTATACACGTCACTAATTAATGATAGATGGGCTTGTCGGTGATCCGATATCAGTTCGCTGTATCCGTTAGTTCGCTGTAGAAGGTTCGTTATATACGTAAATTTCATATGATATTATATAGGAGATAAATCGGGGATTTTTTAACAGTTCGTTGTATCCGTTTGTTCACTATATCCGGGTTCGTTATATCCGTGTTCTACTGTAACTCGGGAATGTTCAGATTGATTTAATGTTATTTTCATGACACAGTCAGCACTATTCCAGCTATTTCACCAATGCGGGTAAGTAATCGATGCTGGGGTTGACAAAGCAATCACTGATAGCGTAAGCAACAATCAACGTCAAACACTTGGAGCTTGGGACCAAGCTACATTCTGCCTTGAGATGACCTACAAGTGATTTGCTTCAGATTTATCGATAGCGTGGTGTAGCGCATGTTGTTGAACATCACTGAAAGCGAGTACAATGTGACATTTGTTCAGATGATCAACAATTGAGATCACGTGACTGTTGTTCAGGTGATTAAATTGGGTTTATGGGACTGTTGTTCAAATGATCAACAGTTCAGAAATATGTTATATTTAAGAAATATATTTCATATTGTGTTGGTTTACTGGAGAATGAACGCTTTGAACCGTTAAAGTTAAAATCGAGCAAACGCCATAGCTTTAAAACATGTGAAACAAACGTTATCACGAAAACTCTGTAGTGCAATAGATCATTGTGGGTGACAAAACAGTGAAAATCATACGTACAAGTTTACACCTAAAGTGTAAACAACAACGACGTGAACTATAAACAACATCCTATATATACCGACCTATAAACATGCTTGATTGCCAGATTGGAACATTGAACACGTGCTCCATGTACTTCGACCCAAAGACGAGGAGACTGATTGCTCGCATGTTGAGTCCCGCCATGGCCAGCAAGGTGAGCAGGTACACCGGATTTCTCACCACACGGAACACAGACTTGGGGACGTCTGAGGAGAGTGGAATGTATAGGTCACCATATGCAGGTAGAGATAGTTGTACTTGCTCAGTCAGTTTGTTAGTACTCAACGCTAATATCCGAGTCTGGGCTTTGAGGTCCCATCAACTAATAAGTAATTTGTACCAAAACATAATTGGTTGCTGCGTACAGAGAAAGTTAATGTCTTGAAGGACTGACAGAAGTTAATTGCGTCTCTAACGAAAGTCCTCACCACACCACATCATCCAGCGACCCCGGCCCCCCACCCCCCACCACCCCTACCCCCCACCCAACCCCCCGGTCTGGTTTGACAGCTCCTCAGTCGTCGGATATGGGTGCTGCTCAGTTGGGACCAGGGGCCGACTTGTCTGCTGTTTTGGGTAGAAGAACAACGGGACGGCTAGGACGACGGAGATCACCCCCAGCACCAAAAAGCCTAACCACCAAGCACCAATCCATCGTGGGTCGCGTCTCGTTAGAGCTGTGTCTGTGGTCAAAGTAGCGGTAGTCGTAATGCGTTATAACATAAACATGCTGCTATTGTCACCTTCGATGATGATAATGTTAACATAATTAATTCTGTGCTTTTCTAAGGAAATCAGGTATGGTTGATGTTTCAAAGTGTCCTGGCCGTGTGTCCTCGTGTTAACCACATGTAACCTACTCGGCGTGAATCACCCGATCATCATGGTCAGCTAAAGACTACAAAGAGGACCCATGCTTCCGTAGAAAGCCACTGGGACACTTTACATGGCTATGAGAACCGTTCCCTACCAAATTACAGTCATCGAATATGAGGTAATGAGCGAATGTTGTTTTATGTCACAATCAGCAATATTCCAGCTTTAGTATAGCCTGTAGATAATCAAGTAGTAAAGTCAACCAGGGCCCACATGCACAAAGCGATCTTAGCGCTACAACTATTGTAAGCCTATGTGAAAGAATGTTACGATCATCTTAGCGCTAAGATCGCTTTGTGCATGGGGGCCCAGGAGTTGATAATATGAGCAACGATACTTGCCGGTCGGACGACGATGATAAGGGCAGCCAGGGCACACATGTTAACAACCCTAAGCTCTGTTTAATAAGTTTTGTTCCAAGCATTGGGGTTAATGTTACGGTACCTGTAATGGAATGTTTTCGGGGTCGAGTATAAGATACATATAATCTCTGTTTACATATCATAACACTTACCACTCAAATCGACTGGTATAGCAGAGAAGATCCCTCCTAATACAAATGCAATTGCTAGACCGAAGACTCCAAGTGTCAAAACTGAACCTAAACAGAAACAAACACTAGCATGCTCAACACGATACTAACAAAAACAGGTACATTTAAATGACGAATGAACTATAATGTCAGAAGCCTTTTTTTCTGCATTGTTCCAGACGTAGTAATTAATATTTTATGAGAAACTGAGACATTGTCTCTGTGCAATTAGAATAATCAACACTTGCTAAATTGATACACAATAAATTGAACATAGCAAAGACACAAACAGATGCTTGAAAGACTTAAATAAAATTAGCAGGGACTCGACAGTTTACTATGGGCTAGTTCCCCTTTAACCATGCTAATCATGTATCAAGTTTATTTATAAAACTGTTTCGTGCATTATTAGTTCAGAAAGGAAGTCGTTAATTAATCACATTAAATGTGTTCTCATTGTCATATGGCTGGTACATTTGAACTCTCTTCCTAACAGAAATGTACACTACTCATTGTCTTACCTAACAGTACGCCCGTGTGTCGTTTCTGGATAACGTTGTTGTCAATGTACTCGGTGACTAGAGGTGTTCTAGGAGCTTTTACTGCATCCTGAATCAACAAACACACAGCGAACAGCCCTACTGACCACGACTTGCTTGGCGTCCTCCCGTCAACATCACAGGACATCGTTCCACGAACTTCTCGCCCTTGCCTTGTACACAGGTGAAGCAATTCCGAACTGATGTTCCTCAGCTCCGACGTCCAAGGCAAAACTGCAGGGTCAACAAAATGGGGAATACTGCATAGGAAGCTTGCACAACCATACATTGCAGTGCATACACCTAGGACCCGTGGGATATGACTCTTTCGGAGAAGGTGACTGCTGAACAGTATGGTTGTCAAAAAGCCGATGTCGTTGCAACTCATGAGGACCCCGCTGGTGGCGCTGTCAATGTTCAACGCCTTCTCTATGGCAGGAACCTGCGACGCTATGTATACTGTAACGGTCTGTAAGCAAAGGGAGGCAGCGCCTGTGGAGAAGGTGAATGAGGCAAGCCCAGTTATTCTTCGTCGCCATTTTGGTGTACTCTGTGCGTTACGCAAGCTTGTGTGAAGTTCAACCGGGTCTTCTCTGTCTCCGGCATTTACGACAGGTAATAATGATACTGATGTCCTAATATCTTTTTAAGACATAGCTGTGTTGCCTTTTAGGCAGGAATAGGTTACAGCTGAATGCGTATGCACTAAATCTGCGGCTTTCTGCGTTAGGTCCTGTATCTGTGACTCTGGCTCTGTATACTCAACCAGTTACTCTCTGGTTCTATGCAATGAAACTGCAACTCCTTAGATCGCGACTCTCTGGGGTTATCTGCAATTCTCTGGAACTCTGGCAATGCGATTCTCTTGATCTATTCACTGAATTCTCAGAATCCATGCACCCTATCTGCGATTCTGTTGATATAGGCACTGAATTTGCGATTCTCTGGATCTCTGCAATGAATCGATGGCTCTGTGCACTGAATGTGAGACACTGAATCTGTGACTCTCTGACTCTGAGCACTAAATTTGCGATTCTCTGGAGCTATGTACTGAATCTGCGACTCCCTAGATCCAGGCACCGAAACTGCGACTCCCTATATTATGAATCTCTATATTAATAATAATATTATGTTATAGCATCCTATATGTACTGTATCGTGAATGGATTATTTTAAATGGAACATTTTTTCTGTACTTTGCAATCTGTTGTGTTATTATTTAAACAACCAGTTGTTTTCATTATGTCATAAAAGAGATACAGAAAAATGTATGAAGTTCTGATGGATTTGCCAATTGTGAACTTATTAATGATATCATGTTTCATCTACATGTATTTTATCATCATCAGATTCGATTAAATAGATTATTATCATTCTGTAATTTGTAGTGTTAATAAACATAAACACACATACACAAATATTTCTTTGAAAAATACGGTCCAAAAGCGTTAGGGTTGTAATTAGATTTGGTGATAATCAATCTAAAACAGGTTTTCTTTTAACCAATGAGGGAAAACCATATCGTAAATACGTGTAGGTGATCAAACAATTCAGAGTGCTAAAATAAGGTTTGAGAATTTAATTTAGTTTTCGTACATTTCATATGTGACGACGTTACTTTCCAGATTGAAGGTGCTTTTATTAATATTGGTCTCTCTTACAAATACACTATAAAGGAAACTTTGGGGACGGGTAAACCAGTCACTGTGCAGTGTTGCATCAACAATATGTGCTAGAAGCCTATGTTCGTGGGTTCGAATCCCGATGATGACTGATTAATTGGTTGGTTGGCTGCTTGGTTGGTTGTTTAACGCCGCACTCAGCAACATTCCAGCTATATAACGGCTGTCTGTAAATAATCGAGTCTGGACCACACAATCCAGTAATTCATATCATGAGCATCCATCCACGCAATTGGGATCAACCAAGTCAGCGAGCCTGACCACCCGATCCCGTTAGTCGCCTCTTATGACAAGCATAGTCGCCTTTTACAGCAAGTATGGCTTGCTGAAAACCTATTCTACCCCGGATCTTCACGGGTCGCCTGATTAATTACTAGATTTGCTGTAGCCGACGTCGTTAAATCGGAATCCAATGACTTCATACAACCAGCTATAGGTATGTTGGTTCCATTTACTTTTCCCTTGATATTCTTGAACCTAGTTTACTGGGTACATAAAGCAGCGTTTTATATGAAATCATGTGGAAATAGTATTTTGGAACATCATGGTCCTTGATCTAATTTCCAGAACAATGTGGTGTCTTATTACAATGTGTATTACACGTCACGCCACTGTGCTGTAGCTTAGTGTAACTATGAAGCTAAAGTTAGTGCAATTTTTCATCATTTGACCTCTGGTGACCTTGACCTTATATGGAGGTCACCTAAAGTGTGGATGCGATCGAGACCGTGCGTTAGAGATCATGTACGCTAAGTTTAATCAAATTCCATTCTTAAATAGTCATGTTATCCTGTACACGAGGTTTTTGACGCCTGGTTCATGAACATTATCAGCAAATACTTATGGCTAATAGGTATGTGTCAAATGTGGTTTTTAATGTTTCAATAGAGCGTTTTGAAACCTGTGAGCAAGTCTTTGACTCAAGTAGATGTAGATAAAAACAGTATAGAGTTAAGGTAAACACATTATCTTGACTCACGGACCTTTTGGTTTTAATTCGTTTATTCATGAAATGTGAGGAGAACATTGGAGCATTACACATATATGGTTTAAATCATGTCAAGAAACATATTTAATGGGATGGATGTTACAACATACAGCGCCTTAGAAATACCATACAATACTTAACTGGCTTGAAGTGAAGTTAGTACTCGTGTTTTTCTTTAGTCATAATTATAAATTTGATCATGTCCCAAGTCCAAACCTGACCACTCATTGCATGATACTACATCTCAGCACAAACTGCAACTTTTCACATTGAAACAATATGGGTGCCAAAATAATCTCCGTTCGAAACCCCGTGGATGGGAGTATATGTCATACTGAAACCATATGGATGGTTCTGTCTCTCATACTAAAACCCCATTAATGGTACCTATCTCATACAGAAACCATATAGACGTTACCATGCTGCATACAGAAACCCTATTGATTGTAACGTACTGAAACCGTATGAATGGTACTATATCGTATACAGACACCCCATGGATGGTACTATATTGAATGTAGAAACTCATTTGATTGTATTATATCCCGTACTGAAACAGTTTGAACGATCACCTAAATCATACTGAACTTCAGCTGATGGTATACTATCAGAATACTAAATCCCGATGGGAGTGCTACATTTCAGACGACGCTGTCTCTGACTCGAGTTTCTTTGAGTTTTCTGGTTTCTTATTCCTCCGCTTCAGAAGCAACAGTGCTATGACACTCAACACAATACAAACCGAGCGGGCGCATAAATTCATTCCTGTAATTTTCATTCGTAGATCTACAAGGTCATGGAGTGCACATGATCCACGCTTGCCGCATGCGTAATTCCAGATAATACACGTGGTGTCGATAATCTTCCCGTACACAATAGGGCCTGGGATGAAGGCTGAAACAGAAACCATAGAAACGTGTGACTCACTTGTGTTAAACACACGTTGAAATGTTGAAATAACGAACATTGATGCGTCGCGTAGATATTTAGTTGGATTATGAAATATCTGCGCCAAACCGCTATGTTGGGTAACATTTGTAAGCTCAGCCGCAAATAGTGGTTGCTGTTTGCACACACTGGTCTAGCCTACACGCTTTGCACCTTGAATTCACGCTCAGTAGAGGCATCGTGCAGGTATTGCATTGCATCACATGTCTGTATCAAAACACTTGTTCTGCAATAATTAATCGGACAGATGCCGAAAACGTCGCTGTTACAGTGTAATAAGGAAGCTGTTATCAATAAGCTGTTTTCCACTTTGTCATTCATTAACTCGAAGAAATGCCTATCTAACAATTATGAAATCGAGCCAAGACAGCCAATCAAATCGTCGAAGTAATAGGGGGTTGGTCTGTAATAATAAATGTCGGTATTACTATGGCTGCCACAACGCCATGGCGTTTTGTGCATAGAAGGGTCACTGGACAGGACTACCGAGACAACATACCGGCACCAAGAGCTGGGCCGCTTGCACACCATGCTAGTCCATGTGTTGTGTTTGTGTGTGTGTGTGTGTGTGTGTGTGTGTGTGTGTGTGTGTGTGTGTGTGTGTGTGTGTGTGTGTGTATGCGAGAAAGAGAAAGAAAGAGATATAGTGACTTACAAATACGTACCAAAAACAGACACTGAAAAACTGAATAGTCCTATTGCCATTGACTTGTCTTTCTCCGCCACACTTCTGTTATGAAATACAAAGTATAATTAGAGGCATTTGTATGCAGCATCACTGAAGTCAATGCAAGCATATTTACCCACAGGAGGTTAATAATGCTATATTGTAATGGAAACAATATTTCGTATGTTTGTATTTTGTATAACGCCGCACCGGCAAAATTCTGGCTATATTACGACGGCCTGGAATTAATCGAGTTGGGTACTTACAATCAATTGATTGATATTACGAGCTACGATACAAGAATACGACATCAACAATGAAATCAATATGGAATCTGAGTACTGGATCCTTTAAGTCGCCTTCTAACTCGGGAATCACTACGGTGTAAGTTGATATGGTACTTCAAATGTGTAGAAGACTTTACAGAGATACTCCTGTTGCATGCATAACATCCTGAATGTTGTGACCCTACCGTATTAGGACAAGATACATGGGGATGATCGCAGTACTTCCAGCCAAAGCGTAAACAGCCGTAGTGGCAACGTAGGGGTAGAGGTAGGGACATCCCGATTCACAGAAGCTGGGGCTTACAGAGCCGCCTCCAGCAGACAAACAACCTCCGTAAGTCTGAAACAAACGTTCGTGTTGCTTATGACTAGATATGCATCAACACATATGCCAAACAGGTGTATAAGCCAAACGTCATCAAGTTATAATGAGTAAAATGAAGACACATAAATCCGATCAGCAAAAGGCTGTAGGATGTTCGATAACTCAGTAATAATTTCCTAGCCTTAAAGGTACACATCAAGCGCTACATTCACGAACGGATTGAGTGACGGCTGTATGTAACAAAAGATACACGGTACTACTATATTGTCAATCAGAAAAAGGAATTAAAGACGAATTTCGCCCATGTGTGTACCTTAGGTTTCAACCTTTTTGGTATGTCGCAATAGCGATCTTTAACATTGCTTGTTTGTTTGTTTGTTTGGTTGTTGTTTAACTCAACATTTATCAATATTCAATTAATTAGCTGAAGGCACGAAAAATACCAACTCTTTGATTGCTTCCTCACTTAAATCGACTCTGAATAGCATTACTTATTCTGCCCAGAAATCCATCTGTTCAAGTCCCTTTCCAGCTTTTTTCCATATTGACAATGCCGGTACACTTACATGATAATCTTTAATTGAATCATTACGATTAATCAGTTGCGTTGAATCTGTGCAATGATACTGGTATAGGGAACGCACTATATATGGTCCTCAAATACATAAGCGCCGGATAAAGGCTACCCAAACATATCAACATATGTGGAATTTAACTGGACAGGCATTGAACAATTCAGTTATTCATTTTATTTAGTACAAAATTCGTTTTCAGCACATGACTTCATAATATTTGCTTATAGAAAGCCATGGTAGGATAAGAGCATCTTTTACCCAACGGGACATGCATAATATATGAAATGAGGAAAAACCTTTTGAAATCATTGTGAATGTGACCAGATGAGTTCATATGAATGGGTTCTCTAGGAGTTCCAAAACTCGGCCTTTTATCTCTCATCCTACCTCAACCTTTAAAAGAAAAACTATACTGAATCGCAAAAGAAACGTCACCCCAAGTACGATTGCATGAAAAGTTGTCATTTAAATATCTGAGTAATTTTTGTCAAAGTTACTAAAATATAACATAACCTAGTCCGACAAAATTAAATTTGATGATAATAACACAAAGCAGATGACAATAAAACCGATCACCCAAACACATCACGGCAACGACAATGGTAAACCGCTGCAAATTCCGTGCAAATTGAAATGCACATGCGTTCCCCCGTTTCTTGCCCTATAAAATCCACCCGGATCGGATAACATTCATTCGTTATTGAATTGCTACCACATGCCAAGATTGACAAGAAATCAGCATCACCAAGTCCTTGGAGGATTGCAAGCTGCACAAACCGCCCGGCAGGTAGCCAATGCATTTCAAGTCCAGTAAGGACCATATACAGGCTCCAGCATCGGTACCAGACCACCAACACAACAGATGACCGACCACGTAGTGGAAGACCAAGGGTCACCACCCGACGTCAGGCTCGTCAGATCGTGCGACAGCATCTTCAAGGCCGCTTTGTTACTGCTGCGGAAACTGCTGGGCAGACCATGGGGACACACCAGCGACACATAAGTGCGGACACCGTGCGTCGACGATTGACGAGCAGACACCCCCACTGTCACATGCCACACCCAGGACCCATTCTGACACCACGTCATCGCCGGGACCGTCTTCAGTGGGCAAAACAGCATCATCATTGGCGCAACTAGCAGTGGAGAAGAGTCCTCTTCTCAGACGAGAGCCGTTACTGTATCTGAACAGCATATGGCAGAGAGAGAGAGAGAGTCTGGAGACGCCGTGGGGAACGTTATATTGATGATTGTGTTGTTGAGAGAGACTCGTGCGGTGGTGCGAGCATCATGGTTAGGGGTGGAATTGGTCTTGCACAGAGCGTCGGCCCTGTGGTCTTCCAGAACATCGGTCCAGGGAGAGGCAATGGTGCCACAGCAGCTCGGTACATTGATCAAGTCTTGAAACCACGCGCCATACCTCATTTCGCACGTCGCCGCAACCACGAGTTTCAGCATGATAACGCCCGTGCCCACACTGCGACAGCAACAAGAGACTTCCCCCAGCAGAATGGCATCAGAGTATCTCAAAATATGTTTACAGTGTTAGGAAAAATATAGTTTCTCAAATATCTATCCACGGTGACATTTCTTTTGCGGTTCAGTATATAATACCCCTTACAGTGTCAGTCTGGTTGCGACACCCCGCATGACATGGTGAGAAGAACGTGACGTTGCCGCTGCAGACGGGAAGAAAGCGGACGTTGAGACAGTCACACGTATTCAGACCGTCATCAAACACAACCCTCTCTCTGAAGATGTGACAATATCAAACAGTTAATATCACCAACAAAGACAATGGATACGAAATTACGATTCTGATAGTGTTCAGTCTCATTTCAAGAAGTAAATTGTCCTAAGAAATAATATTTTATAAACTTACTGGTTTCCCCGTCTAAGTCCGCGTATCGTTTGGTTGTCACAGCCAAATTGGAAGTTTAGGCACTCAACAAGAGTAGCGAGAAAGAAGGTCCCGATAATTACTTTGAGACAGCCACTTCTGTCTAACTTGAAATGCATTGCAATGAAACCTCCGAGAAACGTTCCAGAAATTGTTGTTATCAGCACGATGACACCTACAAAATGACAAACAACATGTGCAGGTATGGTAGTCATGCTATCAATGGTGTAAGGTAAATAGTTGTAAATCGGCCGAAGATACCGCCAGTTAAAAGAACATAGCTAATGTAGACCTAATGATTCACTAACGGAAGACACAGTTGATTGACTTACAAAGTCAGTGAATACGGATGGAGAACGTACCTAATTATAATGATTCACAGATCGAGAACATACAAGTACCTGAGACGTAATGATTTACTGGTGGAGATCATATATCAGAATGGGGTACCACGGATGGATAACATATAGTTTCCGAAGACGTAATGACTCAATGATGGAGTACATATCTACTAAGCGAGTGTACACGGATGGAGGACATACCTAATTATAATGATTCACTGATGGAGAATATATGTCGGAATAAGTAAGTGAGTGAGTATGGTTTTACGCCGCTTTTAGCAATATTCCAGCAATATCACGGCGGGGGACACCAGAAATGGGCTTCACACATTTTACCCATGTCGGGAATCGAACCCGGGTCTTCGGCGTTATGTCGGAATGAGTAATGACGGATGGATAACATATATGCACCTAAGACGTAATGATTCACTGGTGGAGGGCACATCTAATAAGCGAGTGTACACAGATGGAGGACATACCTAAGGCGTGATGAATCTCGTGAGAACATCTAAAACGCGGTTATGATAGAGATCCAGCCTGATCCAGATCATAACTCACTGATGGAATACAGACCAAAGATCTCGTAATTCGCTAAAGGAGAACAGGTTTAAGAAGTGATGATTCGCTGATTGACAGGCCTAACATGTTAGTTATGACACAATGATGCATGGTGGATTCGATTCGTAAATGGAGACAAGACATAAAGGAGAACACATCTAAGAGTGAGTGAGTGAGTTGGGTTTAACCCGCTTTTAACATTATTCCAGTTATATCACGGCGTGTCAGCTTAATGTGGGAGGAAAGCCCGAAGTGATGCAGGTCTCAGACGTTTACCACTTCAGTGAAACCCACGAGCACGGGTATGGTGCTGACAAACCTAGAAACATAATCGGGGCGAACCGGGATTCGAACCCACAATCATAGGTTTCTGGCAAGCCCAAGGGACACCTTAGACGACTGGGCCACACGTGCCCCTACACATTTAAGACGTGATGATACATTAAACAGACCTATAAACAGGTTGGACTTCCAGGAAGGGATGTTGAAGACTGTTTCGAGATACTTGGCGCCAAATGAGATTAGCCCCGCTGCAGCAATCGACGCGCACGCCATGGAGATGTTGTTTAAAGTGTAGACTGGTTGACTCACCACCCGAAACAACGACAGCGGGAAATCTGAACATGTGGAGAAATGATCAGTTGAGCTCGAAGGCAATCGCAGCTACCTTTCACTGTTACTTCTTCAATAAACATATCATGAAAACATTTACTCTCATTTTTGTCACCCTTGGTTTGTCTAAACATGACACAAGTTATGGAACAGTAATGTGACCTGACAAAAGAAGAAATTACTATATTCTGGTGTTTCAGGTTAAGGTGTGTACGATATGAGTTATATTTAATCCCTCCTTTTGGCCAAAAGACTAATAATATCAAATATCAACTCTTCCCATTATTGGCTGAAGCGTTAAATGCTATGAAATACCCCTCAATGTATATTTCATAAATAAAGGGCACTGATGTTAATCTTGTTTACATTTTACATCATGATTTCTGGAGCACTACCTTTTACTTTGTCACAAAATGATTGTGTCTTGTCATCATCTGATAGGACAATATGTCGGCCTTTTATCCTTTTCGGAAAGAAGAACAATGGCACTGCCGTGACGACCGACACACCACCGAAAACAATAAATCCGAGCCACCAGGCACCAAGCCATCTTGGATCCTGTGGGGTCAGAGAAGTAGCTGGAAGAACATAAAGTAGGGCCAATATATGTAACAGGTATAAACGTTCAAAGACTATAAATTTGCCTAAAGTTGTCCAAAGCTCCAATAATCTCGGATGGCTAAAATGGCCACCCGTGACAAAGTATGATAAGGGAGATATAAAATGACAAACTTGACAGATGGACATTTGTTTGGTAATGCTTTTAAGTTCTTAACTTATAACAACATCTAATGCAGTGGCATATCTCAGAGGCTTGGGAAAAACATTGTTTAGATATTGCATCATGAAGTCCTTGTACAAAGCTGACATGTTTAGAGAGTCATATATAACAACAGAGCAGACAATCTCATCTTTTGTTTCAAATCTTGAAGAAAGTTTCGCTGCATTTTAACCATAAGTATTGAACTTTATGTTATTGAAAGTGTTTAGTAATTTATCACAGAAAGTCCTATTGATAATTTTATTGGGTTATTATTATTTCATGTTAAATCATTATAATAATATGTTATTTTTTAATATTATTAACAATACGTTTTAACTTGTGACAACAGAATCGAGTTCATTGAATAAATGTTTGTACGATACCGACCGTATAGGAAAATACATACATTTTTACATATTTGTAAACAATATTTATCTTACTTACGAGACAAATCAACTGGGATTTGAGAAAAGACGCCTCCAAGGGAAAATGCCAACGCTGGTCCGAACATTGTAATTGATATAAGTCCCCCTGACATGAATTGAAATACATATGAATAAAATGATATAACAAATGGTGTCCATCCGTACATACATTCAAAAGTACGAATATGTGCCCCAACGTCACATTCACTATGTTCATGATAACATGATGATATGGTGAAAGTATCTTTGCAAAGGTAGATCAAACAAACATTTGAACATGAAATTAAATAAATATTTCAACATTAGACAAAACAACGTTTTTGTAACATTATCTGTTTTGGATCTTTTCAGACATCTGTAAGCTGGTCGAAAACAGAATTAATGCTGTGTGAGATGATGTTTCTATTATACATAAGCATAGGCTGGTTCCCGTCATTGGTTTTATCAACAACAGTGACTTAAGTCATCCTATCCTTAGCTCATTCCATTCTTACGACATTTCCATCCCAAACGACATTAGACTCAACCTACTCACTCTTACCTAGAAACAGCCCCGTTCTTCTTCTATCAGTCACACTGTTGTCAATATACTCTGATGACAGAGGGGTCCTGGGAGATTTAGCTAACCCCTGTACCACCAGCGTCAATGCGAGAAACCACAGCGCCAATCGCTTCTCCGACCCGAGGGGTCCAGCAGATCCACCCTCACACGTATCATTCTGCCTACTCTCCCACCCGGATTGACTGCACAGATACTTCTCCCAATCCCCTGCGTCAGTCGCGTTGGTGACATTGCCTGTCATGCCGATGCTTCTTGGCAAAGACGCTGGATCCATGAAATGACACAGCCCGCTAAGAACTCCCGATAGTGCATAAACCAACGTACTTACGCCAAGCACTCGCGGGATATTACTCTTCCGGAGGAAGTGGCTGGTAAACAAGACTGTGGAAAGGTAGCCGATATCATTGCAGCTCAGAAGGATGCCACTCGTTGTACTGTCGATGTTGAACACCTTCTCCAGAGTGGTTATCTGAGATGCTAGATAAACCGTTATTGTTTGCAGACAAAGGGAGGCCAATCCCACCGAGATCGTGAATGATCCAACTTTCCCACATCTTTGCATACAGGATGGTGAACGTGATCCGGCGCCACACGATGCTTTGTCTTCGTCCGAATCACAGATGCTGCTTATAGTCTTCTTGTCCACCTGATCTGTATTTTCACAGTTGACTGACAACTCTTTCTCTGATGCTTCTTCTTTAATGTTGGATGCCATCACTATTCCTTTACAAAGACACATAAAATAGTTTTATGTTTTATCTTTTATAGTGCTGTATCCCTCATTGTTTTTACATGGAAATATAATGAAAATATTGTCTGAATCTTAATTGCGTCAATATGTAACAGGTTGCTTCAGCACGTCGTCGAGAAATCTTGAGGTTAATAGAAGGAACGATCTACAGGCATCTCATCCTAATATACATTTATACGTTTCGTACCATGAATTACTTTTTCAGGAAATTTGTGCATAAAGGTTACATAAGTCTTAAAGGACTCAAACGAATGATACATAATACATAAGTCTTAATATAGGTATATACTTACCAACTGTCTTCAGAGCTCTGCAAAAAAAATCCCTGCCTATGTGGTGCCTGCCTTCATACTGATACATAAAAATCAGCGACTGTTAATTGCCATATTTATACAGCGCTCGACATTACCCGGTCTAAGAGCACATTGTTATAAATGCAAATCAAATTAAAATTCTCTTCATATGTTTTTGGTGTGCTTAATGGTTTTACAATAAAAGAATTCATATACATTAATAAAAACATATTACTGATCATAGTTCCGTTTTGTTCGGATCTTCACAAAGCAAACGTCCAAAGAATGAAAAATGGTGTTTGTTGAACTGGGCCAAGTTACCAATATTCACTAGGTTTTGTAAAATGTTTTCCCGACAAAAATGGAATACAAGTAATTACATTGGAATAATAATTTGGTCCTACCTGTATATTATACATCGGCATTAATTATTGCCTTCCGTGACAAAACGTGACATTGACAATTTCTTTCGATTGACGACGTCCATACAGTATACATGGAATTATTCGGACAATAAAATCAATAAGTCCGCTGTATAAAATATTTTGCGTTATCAGCGAAAGCAAGTGGGATAGTTACGACATTAATACACCCACTTAATACACCCTATTACATTGTAGATAAGAACAATATGGAATAAACTAGAAAACTGGATGCATAATAAAACAGGAACTAAAATATATTTGATAAAGGAGATGTTTCTGTTTGAATATTCAGAAAGAAGGAAGGATGTAATTACTCTCATCAAAACTTTGACAAAATATAGTATTTTTAAAAGGTTGATCTTTCAATAGTCTGCCTTCTTTCGATTTATTAAGGCATACCGCTTAGGCATGTAATTAACATATTCCTCCCTAAAGTCCACAGTATTTATTCGAAAACCTATGAAAATGTGCAAAACTAATTTTCATTCATTTATAATACTATGTAAGGATTACACATCTGATGATACTTTCTCATTTCAGACAATACTTACAATACTGTTTTTCTGAGATACCTGAAAAATGTATAAACGAAAACTATTGAGATGGACATATTTATATATATGTCATATTGAGTAAAAGAGAAAAGAATCCGAACAGAATGGAAGCGCCAATCGCAAGAACTCAAGAATCGATGACAATTGTTATCAGAATATCAAAATGCAAGCTGGGTTTAGAGAGTTACTCTACCACCGACCGTGCATTTAACCTTTACAGCCTTCAACATAAGTATTTACGCAACAAAGTTGTATTGTTTGTTGATTTTATAAAAACCTTAGATTGTGTTCATAGATCCAAATTACTATACGTTTTACTACAATCTGACATACATGGAAAATTACAACGCCTTATATAAACACACGTGCCACAATATTAAAGCATCTGTAAAAGCCAATAAACATGATATGACCGATATATTTAAGACATATGCTGGTGTAAGACAGGGTTGCATTTTTCTGCGAAGAATTATCCAACGATTCGAAATATATATTTATTGATGAAACTATACAAAATCTATCAATCTTACTATTTGCAGACGATATAAACATTTTTGCGGACTCGGTGCTATGCTCTAGCGTAAAATTGATATCCCAAATGAGTATTGTGTGAAATGGTCAATTAAAAATAAATACGGGTAATATCAAAATAATAGTCTTTAAAAAGGAGGTAGGATATCAAGATATGAGAAATGGTTTCTCAAAGGAAAGAGTGTTCTATTTTCGTGAAGAAATATATTCACTAGAACCTGTGAGATACTTGACAAGCAGTGAGTGAGTGAGATGTGTTTAACGCCGCTTTTAACAGTATTCCAGTTATATCACCGCGTGTCAGCTTAATGTGGGAGGAAAGCCGGGAGTGATGCAGGTCCCAGACGTTTACTACCTCGGTAAAACCCACGAGCACGGGTATGGTGCTGACAAACCTAGAAACATAATCGGGGCGAACCGGGATTCGAACCCACAATCATAGGTTTCTGGCGTGCTCAAGGGACGCAACTCAGCACACCGAATCGCAGTTCCTTATTTTTAAACAAAGCTGTAAAGATATATATCAACAAGAATGAGTCATGTACGAGAAAAAAATTGGGTACATTATTATTCTGAATTTAAAAATCCTATTGCATCTGAGACCTTCCTTACGTCAATAAAAACTGTTTTCCGTCGAGTCTTAACGAAATTTAGATGCAATGTACATACTTTTAACATTAGAGCAGCTAGAATTGAAAATACATCCTGTCCATACTGTAACCGACCGCCTCCGTGGTCTTGTGGTAGAGCGTCCGCCCGGAGAGCGGAAGGTCCAGGGTTCGATCCCGGGCCGCGTCATACAAAAAGACGTTAAAAGATTGTACTTGTTGTTACCCTGTCTGGCGCTCGGCTTTAAGGGGCTAAAACAAGGACTGGTCGGCTCGGAGTCAGTATACTGTGTCTGAGTGGGGTATTCATGTTAAATTGCGGCATGGTATCTCAGTGAGCTAGCACTATAAATTGGCATCAGTCCGGACTAGTACAAGCAGCCACACACACACATACACGTGCATGCACGTCGCTATATAAGTGCAATAATCTTGGACGCGACGTTAAACCCAATTTCACCTCACCTCACCATATTGTAACCACCAAAACGAAGATGAATACTCAAAGCAAAAAAGTGTAGGTCTCCGTGTTGAGGAAACCTTCCGGATACCTTCCCAGGAATTGGAATCAAGTCGTCTTCAGTGATCAATCCCGATTTAATCTTCGATTTGCTGATGGTAGGGCGAGGGTGTGGAGGCGCCGTCATGAACGTTACGCCCAGTGTTGTGTACAGGAAGTTGACAGATTTCGAGGTGGAAGTGTCATGGTTGCGGGTGCTTTCTGTGGCAATGCACGTTCCAGGCTTCTTGTCATCCGTGGCAACCTCAACGCTGCTGCTTACCGCGACCAGGTACTGGCACCAGAACTTCTGCCTTTTATGGCAGCACATTGACCCGGTTTGATCTTCCAACACGGCAATGCCAGACCCCACACAGCAATTTTGACAAGGAATGTCCTTCAGAATGCGGTAGTCAACGTCATGGACTGGCCCTCAAGGTCTGCCGACCTCAATCCAATCGAACACGTCTGGGATGCTCTTGGCAGAAGTCTGCGCACTCTTCAGAACCAACCACAGAATTTGCAAGATCTTGGCACAATTTTGCAGCAGCAAATGCGTCGTCTTCCCAATCATGTGTTCACAAGCATCACAAGGTCCATGCGGAGGCGTTGTGTGGCAGTTGTCAACGCACATGGTGGCCATACACGCTACTGAACTTGTGTGCCATCAGATCCTCGTGCTTGGGACTTATGATTTAAACTGTTGATGTTATTACCGAATATCGTAGGTGCTTGGAACAAATAACGGTTACCACCGTTAATTAAAATCCTTCTTAGGACATTAATGATTAAAAATTACCTTCTCTGATACATTTGTCCGTTGTATATCATATATGGGATTACTTTTAAAAATGTGAAGTTTTTAATTTGACTCAGTATATATTCTGTACTATGTCCCTCATTCAGTCTTGCTTGACAACGGTATAAGGATCTATACCGAAACGTCGCTTTTCCCAGTATTAAAGAAGTTGTTATCCATACAAAATTGTGTCTACCTTGTCATCCGTCAACTTCTAAGTAATGCCTATCAAACAATAAAGTGTCAAATGTTCTTAAAGTGAAACACAACACTAGTATCTGAGAAAATGGCATCACAAGTCAGTATCTCGAGTGTCAGCCATGTGCATTGATGACTTCCGTGCAACGTCGATACATGGAATGGATGAGGCGGTTGATGAAGGCCATAGGCACTCGGAGGAACGCCTGTCGCAGTTCAGCTGCAGCTGTCGGCCTTGGTCGGACGTCATTCAGCCGTCTTTGAATCTCGTCCCACAGGTGCTATATGGGATTTAAATCGGGACTTAGGGCAGGCAACTGTATAGTTCTGATGCCATTCTGCTGGAGGAAGTCAATTGTTGCTGTCGCAGTGTGGGTACAGGTGTTATCATGCTGAAACATGTGGTTGCGGCGACGTGCATGTGGTCTCAAGACTTGATCAATGTACTGAGCTGCTGTGACACCATTGCCTCTCCCTGGACCGATGTTCTGGAAGACCACAGGACCGACCCTCTGTGCAAGACCAATTCCACCCCACACCATGATGCTCGGACCACCCCACGAGTCCCCTCAACAACACAAGCACCCCGAATAACGTTCCCCACGGCGTCGCCGGACTCTCTCTCACTCGGCCATTTGCTGTTCAGATACAGTAACGGCTCTCGTCTGAGAGGAGGACTCTTCTCCACTGCTAGTTGCGCCAATGCTGGTGCTTTGTTGCCCACTGAAGACGGTCCCGGCGATGACGTGTTGTCAGAATTGGTCCTGGGTGTGGCCTATGACAGTGGAGGTTTTCTGCTCGTCAATCGTCGACGCACGGTGTCCGCACTAATGTGTCGCTGGTATGTCCCCTTGGTCTAACGAGCAGTTTCCGAGGCAGTAACAAAGCGATCATGAAGATGATGTCGCACAATCTGACAATCCGACGTCAGACGTCAGACCCTTGGTCTTCCACTACGTGGTCCGTCATCTGTAGCGTTGGTGGTCTGGTATCGTTGCTGGAGCCTGTATATGGTCCTTACGTGGACTTGAAATGCATTGGCTACTTGGTGTCGCTGATTTCTTGTCAATCTTGGCATGTGGCAGCAATTCAATAACGAATGAATGTTATCCGATCCGGGTGGATTTTTATAGGGCAAGAAATTGGGGAACGCATGTGCATTTCAATTTGCACGGAACTCACGTGCAGCGGGTTACCATGACCGTTGCCGTGATGTGTTTGGGCGATCGGTTTTACTGAAATCTGCTTTGTTTTTTTGTCATCAAATGTCAATCTCAATGTCAGTAGACTACGGTTATAACGAATTCAAAAGGACCACTAATTTTAGTTCGTAATAACCGTAGTTCGTAATAAGCGTATGTACAGCATGTACAGAACAAATGACCGGGACTAAAAAATTAAGTTCGGTATATCGGTCAGTTAGTTATAAGAGTGTTCGTTATAAACGTAGTTTACTGTATTTAAAAATAAACTGTCTGTTTTTCTGACATTATTCTAGGTGACATCACTGCATAGGTACCCAAACGTGTAACGTCATAGTTCTATGT